GAGATGGCATTGTTAGTGACGGGGAGAGGGAGATGGCATTGTTAGTGACGGGGAGAGGGAGATGGCATGGTTAGTGACGGGGAGAGGGAGATGGCATGGTTAGTGACGGGGAGAGGGAGATGGCATGGTTAGTGACGGGAGAGGGAGATGGAATGGTTAGTGACGGGGAGAGGGAGATGGCATGGTTAGTGACGGGGAGAGGGTTGGCATGGTTAGTGACGGGGAGAGGGCGATGGCATGGTTAGTGATGGGGAGAGGGCGATGGAATGGTTAGTGACGGGGAGAGGGCGATGGAATGGTTAGTGACGGGGAGAGGGAGATGGAATGGTTAGTGACGGGGAGAGGGCGATGGCGTGGTTAGTGACGGGGAGAGGGCGATGGCGTGGTTAGTGACGGGGAGAGGGCGATGGCGTGGTTAGTGACGGAGAGAGGGATGGCGTGGTTAGTGACGGGGAGAGGGCGATGGCGTGGTTAGTGACAGGGGAGAGGGCGATGGCGTGGTTAGTGACGGGGAGAGGGCGATGGCGTGGTTAGTGACGGGGAGAGGGCGATGGAATGGTTAGTGATAGGGAGAGGGCGATGGAATGGTTAGTGATGGGGAGAGGGTAATCGAATGGTTAGTTAAGGGGAGAGGGTGATGGAATGGTTAGTTATGGGGAGAAGGTAATGGAATGGTTAGTTATGGGGAGAGGGTAATGGAATGGTTAGTTATGGGGAGAGGGTAACGAAATGGTTACTTGTGGAGATAAGGTAATGACATGGTTACTTGTGGAGATAAGGTAATGACATGGTTAGTGCTGGAGATAGGGTAATTAAATTGTTAGTGATGGAGATAGGGTCATGAAATTCTTTATTTTGTAGTGCATATGGTTATAACAGGCATGCTTATGGTACCCCAACGGCATTCCATACGCTGATTTAAAAGACAATAGGTACAGTGAGGGATGATTAAACAACGCACATTTTTAGATAAGTATGGCTTGACATGGCTAGAACAACAAGCTTGAGTGATGCAAGGCTATGTTGGTAGTGACACGAATAATGCACGCATACAGCGTAAATTACATAAGTGGTCCAGGTCTGCGAGTTGGTGGGTCACCTCTTTCTTATATAAAGATGTAACTAAGGGTGTGCGGTCCATGTGTGTGTACACCTATCTATATAGCCACTCTTAGGTGTCTGTCGTGACATTGACCCGTATTTTACATAGTACCTCTATATGAGTGTGGGACAAGAGTATATGTTGTTGTGAGTGCCATATACAATGTCCTGACATGTGGTCACTGGTTAATACAACTTATAGAATAACCTTTATGCTCGGTCATGTTATGAAGACTAGTGAGGTTAGACGATGTGGGGCAAATGTCACCCTGATGGATCGTAGTTCCCAGAGCTGCCTCCATGGGGGGGGGGGGGAATCCGCATCCTGGTGGTCCCAAGGCCACTCAGACAGGGGTAGTCCTGCTTTTATCCAATACCTGCTCTGCTGTGTTTGAGTAGTAGGGGGCAAGTGTCCTTCAGAGCAGGCATCAGAACGTGTTTTGTTCGCTTAGAGTCCTGCATAGTTCGTAGGGTGCTTTCAAGTCGCTGCCTTGGTGTGGTGTGCTTGCCGTCTTCGCTCGTCCACCGGCTGGTGTCTGCTATGTGTGGGAGCTGGGCTCTCCAGGTAATCCTGTTACAGGCTGAGTGGTGAGTGAGTGCATGGTCAGTCCTCCGGTAGAGGTATCACGCTGGGCAGCTGGCGCAGTTACCCCAGGCAGGAATGGTTGCTGTTTGGAGTTCTGCCCCCCCGGTGCAGCCGCAATCTCCAGCTTGTTCGTGTTTTCCATGCCTCTAGTTGCTGGCTTGAGTGGCTGTAAGGGTTGGCTCGGTGTTTGCCCCATCCCTGTGTGGCGGGATCGGGCGGTGGGAGCCGTTTTTGGTGTAATCGCGAGGTAGGAGATCTTCCCCTTGTTGTCTGCGTGCATGGTGCCCGCCATTTTGGAGGTAGCGGTCGGGTTTCTCGGCCTCAGTTGCGGAGTCACAATCAGGGCCACAGGGTAAGGACCGGGATCACCCCCCCAGTCCATGGAGGGGGGGGAACGGAGCCGGGTCCGCGCCACTCACCGCTGGAGAAGGCCCGGGTTGGGGGAGTTTTTCTCCCCTGGGGGACTGAAGCTCTGTGAGCCAGCCTCTCCCCGGGTCCAGCAGTACCTCGGCTCTGGGTGGTAATACACGTTTTTAGTGATTATTCTGTATCGTGTTTCTGGAGCTGGTCTGACTTGCGACCATCCAGCTTGGCGGTCCGGCCCCGCCCGCCCCCCCCCTAGATTTTTCTTTTATGCTCACCAGGCAATATTTTTGTAGCCATGCCGGGGTTCAGCCTCTAAGATCCAGCAACGCACTATTGTGAAAGTGGCTAGCTTGGGTACCCCCTTTAGTGACCGGGGGTCGGACCCAACCTCTGCCCCTTAGGGGATCAAAATGATCCCCATCAAGGATAATTTTGCCCAGGAGTCTTCCAACAAATATTCCACAGGATGCCAGGTATAAATAAAATACAAAAATTTAAAGTAGCAATAAAAATCTGTGACCAGGGTTCAAATGGGTATATGCCAAATTCACTTCATTGCAATAAAAACAAGCATTAAAAAAATTCTACAATGCATTTCACCTATGCAATAGGCTTTTTCAAGTGATACTGCATAGGTGAAACACTCAGATTTAGTGTTTTGTTTTTTGCTTTTTAACTGCACAGGTTAGGTTGTAAATTTAGCCTTGTATTTTCACAAAATAATTATCAAGGATGTGCAAAGGTGATCATTCTGTACTGAGAATGTACTCAGAAATATAGCTGAACATAATTTATAATTATTACAGTAGCACAAATCAAGTTTACAATATAAACAGCTAAATTGCAATGTGCATTAAAACATAATAATACCAAACACTTTGAAAGACATTAGTACTAAAATGGCTATATAATAAAAGCTCAAAATATACCATATGACATACCCTGTGGCATTCACTTACACAAATGGTATAAATGTATGGGGTAATTTGAACGGTCATACTGCTACAATGTCCCAAAATGTGAAATAAACTTTAAAATGTAACGGTCAAAATTCTAACTGTAGAGACTGAAATAATCAGGTATTTTATATGGCACTGTAACTTAGGTAAATAGCCTGTGATAAATTATTTATACAAATATATACCTTTGAGTGGAACTTTGTTTTCTGTTATGGCTATTAAGTTACAATACAAACATACCAAATTCTAAAATCGCTCCCCATTGACATTCTGTTTTTCTCCTTGCCTTGTGTGACTTCTAATTACCAAAATTAAACTAAAATCCTTCATATATTATGTACTCTGTAAATCATGACAAATAAATTTATTTTGAAGTACTTTTCTTAAGTTGCACTAATTATGCACACTTTATTATTGCCAAAACTGTAAAAAAAAAAAAAAAGTTAAATTAAAACCAATTCTTGTCTTTTAAAAACCGGTTTATAATGTTGTCTGTGGAGCTAACGTAAGATAAACTCCCTGACTGTCTAATTTCCATTGTCCTATAAGTGTTGTTGTCTGATGTGGGGATTTCATTTTTTTTTTTAAATACTTTTTTCTATAACGCTTCTGTGAGTCCAGAAACTCTACAGTCCAACCTCACACACAGAGTCAACAACTTTGATGACAGAGATAGGAGTATGAATATAAGTCAGAGGGGTATCCTCTGTATTGCCAGAGGAACTTCATTTCATTCGATGACTAGTGGTCTTAGTATTGCCCGCCTAACAAGCTAGTAATATTATGTTGGACGGAGCTTCTCGCATAACAAATTCTCCTCTAGCACCCAATGGGGCCCCTGGAGAGTTTTCTAAGATGTTAATCCTTAGCTGGTAAACAGCAGCTGATGAAGGCATTTCAAGAGAAAGCTCCATTTAAATTTGAGTCTCACCTTCGCATATTTTTCCAAGACCTACACCATTCCACATTATTATGGATGAAATCTATGCACTCCATCACCAATAAGCTCTGTGCAGTGAGTATCTCTTTTAGCTGGTCTTTTTCACAGACTTTGGCAGTTCTCAGAGTGTGGAAGTTATTAAATTCCTCTAATCCAGAGAACGCTTTACTTTATTTAGGGCTCTTGGCTTCCAGGAACTCACAAATTCCATTAAGACCCACTCCTAATAACACCTTGGACATTTATAAAGTGATTCCAATTGACTGAGCTGGGCCGTGTGATCACTTGGCGATCTAGGCAGCAGACTAGGGAGCACAAAGCCAGGGAGGCGCGTTCTTCAGATGACCAGCAGGAGGAGAGCGCACAGCGCTCCCCTCCTACCAGTCACTGCATGTAGCTTGGTCGAATCGCGGACCACAGTAGAGGTGCTTCTGTAACCTATACCTGGTCTAACAGTGCCTTTCTGCTTCCTGTCAGACTAGGGAGAGGACACAGGAGATTCTAAACCGCAGTTCCGCCACACTATAAGAAAGAGATGAACTGGCAGGGGTTTGCGGGTGGACCACAAAGGGACAGGTAGGACAAAGGTGGGGGTGAAGACACAATGAAAGGCTGGGGGGAGGGGGGAAGAAAGATCCACAATTGTGCTGGGGGTGGAAAGACACAGAGTGGCTGGGGAATGGGATAAAAAGACACACAAAGGAGTTGGGGGAAGTAAGTGACAAAGTTGGCTTTGTTTTGGGGGACGGATACAAGTAGCTGGGCTTGCCTAGAGCGCAATAGTCTTGCACCAGCCCTGGATCTGGGAAGTGGCCAAACCCTCCAGCTCCTCCTGCTGCCTCATGGTTATGTGTTATATGCTACCTTGGAGCTGGATAGAACCATACCAAGCCGTTTATGGGCATTCCATACACACTAGTCAGTTATCTATTACACAGTTTATTTCACCTCCAAGGGTTTTGTTTTATTTTTGCAGAAACCTGTTGTCTATATAATGCGTGTCTTGCTGTATGCTTGTTGGTTATCTCTAAAATATTTTCTGGAATGTTGGACTGTATTAAAGTATTAAAAAGAGTTTGCAATACCTATGCTGTAATGTATCCGCCTGTAAAATGCAACAAAAAAAACTATAATATATATTTATTTTATTTATTTTTTTAAACTCCATTCATGTTTAGAAATATTTACACAGACTGCTATTTTGTTCTACATTAATCCTCAATTACAGGCACGTGGTTACAGTTTGAGAGGGAGATGGATATGGATACACAATCTGACATTAAGATTATTAAAATTTGAGAAGCTGGTACCTCACTGCAGCCTCATGTTTGGCAGACTGTCAGCAGTGACTTACATATATTCCGAACAGGGTGAGGAAGTTTACGGTTGCATTACCTCTATCCAACCACTAGATGACAACCTTCGCAAACCATTTTAAGATTACTCTTGTGCTATGTAACTATACACATTATCTACTAATATGAAATTAGCAAGTTATAATTTGAATTAGCTGTTTTTATGACCAGCTGAAAAACCCCCCCACAAATTGTAATATTCTATCAAATTCCTTTAAAGGGTTACTCCAGTATCATAACCATTAGAGCCTGTTGGTGTGGTTATGATGTCAGGAGTACCCTGGCCCTTTTAGCAACAGTTTGCCCCCTTATATGTGTCTCCACTGGGCTCCAATGTTCCCTGGTGTTCCATAGATGCACTTAAGTCATAAGCTCCAGCAATTGACATTCATAGGCTGAGTGCGTCAGCTGACCACCCTCAGCCAATGACTGTCATTCTGTGGAACCCTGGAAAACTTTCTGGCTGGCTGATGACACCTCTATGATGCGGCTGGAGGTGGGGTTACACCTCTGGCAACAGAAGGGCTAATCTCTGAATGTGCAGACACCACAACCACTTTCAATTTCTGAAGGGGTCATGAGAAGGCAAGCACCCTCTAGCAAGCATGCCTGCCACTTCTGTTAGCTCAGCGGAAGTAACAGAAGGAAGAAATGAATCTTCCCAGCAGTTTGAGTCACAGCCAGTGAGGGGTTTCTTAATATAGATATAAAAGTGCCATTAAAATGGGATACTCCCAACCCATTTTAGTTTCACTGGAGCGCATCTAAAAACAGTTCACAAAAGCTGTACATCTTTTCTTTGCAGCCTTTCTAAGCCCTCCCCTTCTAACCCTGCCCAGACTTTCTGTGGCTGTCCAATCACAGACTTCCCAATGCAGCTCAATGAGAAGTCTTTGCAAAGCAGGTACTCTGGGCAATTGCTGCCTCTTGAGTTCACTTCCGGTGAGCTAAACTACCAGGAAGTAACAGGACCTGTTGTCTGTTTGATAGCCAGGGGGTGTAACAAGGGTAATGTATAAATGTGACTAGTTCTGTTAAAATGTACACCTTTTGTAAAATGGAAAAAAAACAAAAAATAACCACCAGATATGAAGTACTTCAGTGAACTGAAGTGCTTAACTGGTCTCTAGAGAGTACTTTTAAGTATATCTTTAAAGTGGCACTCTAGTATTACATTTTGGATGTCATCAGGGAACTTTCGCAACATAACTGCTAAACGGATTAGGAGCCATTAAAATATAAACTGGGACTATTCTTGGTAATCAGGGATTGCCCCTGTCTCTACTTACACTTCTGCATGATCAATGGCAGTTTTGTCCAAATGGCATGTAATTTATTGACGGATATTTTATGGGAGTGGTTGGCCAAAATTGCATTGATAACTAAACATTACTAAATCTAAAAGGGTAAAATCTAATGCTTTTACCATGAGTAAATGATATATAACACAATGAGATCATCTAAATGGAAACACAGAATAAAGGTTAGATTCACTAAACAGTGAACAGGGAGGAAATTAATGCAGTCCAATATAGTATTATAAAAGCATCAAGTGAGAATCTACTTGTAGAACATTGGGTGTTTCTCTTCCCCCCCCCTTTACCAGTTGCAGTGAGAGTTATACATTTATTTTGAGCCTCTTGGACATTCTCCTATTTGTGTTGACCAAGAGGAATTATTGGTTTAATTTCTTTGGGGTTTTCCTTTTCCTTTTTGAGTTTTTTTTATATATGCACATTACAAAAGGCAGACAAGATGGAGCTTCAATGTATTCCGACTTGTATTATGCACTATTATTTTAGCCTATTTGTAATTCTCTTGATATATAGTATAATCTGATCATATTTATTCAATGAGCTTAAAATAACATGGTTTTAAATTGTGCCCCAATGTGAAACTTGTAACACTAATTTTAATACTTGGATGATATTTTACTATGACCAGGAAAAAAAAACACAGATATGGATTTATTAAGATTTTTTCTTTAATAATAAACTGTGCCAATAGAAGCTTTCAGAAGCGTTTATATAACAATAAATAACTTAAAATGAGTTCCTGAGAAAGAAACTGCCATGTTAAAAGCGGTCAGATAGGTGTATAAAACAAAATATTGTAATTATAAAAGAAAGCCGTAATACTGAATCTTAAAAGTCACAAGCGTATCCTAAGCCAAGCACAACGCTCATAACAGAGTAAATAAATACACAAAAATGACGAAACTTTGACTAAACAGAGAGAGCAATTGATAGCTCTTGCCAAAAATGCACAATTACTTCTATCAGCCCCAACCAGACCCTGGCTGACTGGGTAGGTAGAATGAGCTATAAACTCCCTATTATGTGTTACAGAGTTTGACATCAAAACAGTTGTGTTATGGCTTAACCCTTTCAGTGGCATGCTGCCTTCTTTTCATTATGGGGAATGATGATAAATAAAACAGTTTATAACACTGCATATGAAATAAAAATTAAAAACTTAAATCTTTACCCAAATATTTTACAAATCTAATATTTGATGAACATTTTGGGCTGAGCTTGAGTTGTATTTTTCAGCCTATATATAAAGACATTAAAAAAATATAACTATGAACTAATTTTTCTTTTTCACGCAATATATTTCAGAGTTAAATTAGGTGGAAAACTATTCAGATGTCATAATTCAATTTTTTAGAGATTTTGGAATTGAGAAATGCACGGTGTGTGTATACACACAGAATTCTTTACTTAAATCGCTCTCAGTTATTAATTCTTAAATTACATACTGCTGTAACACCAACAAGAATCAGCCTTCACTTTTTTGGGAGCTGTTAAAAGGAAAGTTATTTTGGAATGTTACTGTACAACAGTAACATTAAATGGATCCTACAGTGCCAGGAAAACAAACCTGTTTTCCTGGCACTATAGGCTCTTGGAGAGCCCCCCCTCCATCGGGGTTTAAAACCCCTTCAGCCACTTACCTTAATCCAGCGCCGGGCTCCCTTGGCACTGGTGACCTCTCCTCCCCCGCCGACGTCAGCTCCCTAGTGGAGCCGAATGCGCACGCGTGGCCAGAGGCGCGCGTGCATTCAAACCTGCCCATAGGAAAGCATTACTCAGTGCTTTCCTATCGGGATCTGAAATGACACTGGACTCTGCGAGGACGTCCAGCGTTAGATAAGTGCGATTTACTCCATGTAAATCGCGAAAGCGCCTCTAGTGGCTGTCAGGGAGAGTCACTAGAGGCTGGATTAACCCTCAGTGTAAACATAACATTGGTTTAAGTTTATGTAAAAATATATTGTGGGAGGAAAAAACATCTGTAAAATTAATTCTTGTGTCAATGCCTTAAAGGACCACTATAGGCACCCAGACCACTTCAGCTCAATGAAGTGGTCTGGGTGCCAGGTCCATCTAGGATTAACCCTTTCTGCTGTAAACATAGCCGTTTCAGAGAAACGGCTATGTTTACAAATGGGTTAATCCAACCTCTAGTGGCTGTCTCATTGACAGCCGTTAGAGGCGCTTCCACACTTCTCACTGTGATTTTCACAGTGAGAAGACGCCAGCGTCCATATGGACAGGCTGAATGCACGCGAGGCTCATGCGCCTTCAGCCGATGACGGGGAAAGGAGGAGGAGAGTCCCCAGCACAGAGGGAGCCCGGCACTGGAAAAAAGGTAAGGGATTAACCCCTTAATCACCCTAGAGCCCGGCGGGAGGAGGCCCAAGGACCCTATAGAGCCAGGAAAACAAGTATATTTTCCTGGCATTATAGTGGTCCTTTAAGTGTCCCTTTAATGACACCTTTAATGACACCTGCCACCTCAACTATTCAGGAATCTATAACTTATCGTAGTCTACCATATGCACAAGGTTTTAGAGTACTGCTGTACCCTCTGTGATCCCTTTCAGCTGTGATTTCTTCCAGCTGAAGTGGTAGAGGTTAACACAGTGAAGGAGTTTAAGCATGCGTGGGATGGACAGAAGGCTATCCTAACTATAAGATAAGGCCAGGGACTAATGAAAGTATTTAGAAAATTGGGCAGACTAGATGGGCCGAATGGTTCTCATCTGCCGTCACATTCTATGTTTCTATCCCCTACAGTAAAACCAGTCCACATATGATGATGATTGGGTGATTTCACATTAATGACCATATTGGCAAAGTTGTCTTGACAAGCTCAAGGCTAAAGTGACATGGATTCCTATCACGTATAGTGCTAAGGGCAAGCTGCAGAATCACTTTCAGATTACACCACTTCTTCCTGTATTGCAAATAATTAATAGAATAAAAGAATCAGAACAAAAAAAAATACCAAAAAACGGCAAAAAGTGCTTCCAACTAACAGTCTATAAACATACATGTGCTCACATAAGTGTTGTGTATCAGTGAACATCACCCCAGAAGGGATCTTGGAACATTGCGAAACTGACATCACTACTAATATGTGAGGGATCTCCATTATCAAAGTGAAGTTTTTTTTACTTTAAAATATTAAAATTGTATCTAATAAAAAGAAAATATTCTCCATCTTAACAAGAATTGAGGCCCTAGCAAGAAGAAATAAAGATCTGATTTGCAGTTTTGTATAAAAATATCTGTTTAAAGTAGTGAAATTATAAATGAAATTTTTTTACAGTTTTTTTGGTTTCAACATTCGAGTACAGGCGTACAAAACATTTTTTTTTTTTTTTTTAACCGTTGTAAAAGAAGCAAACAATCTCAATCAAAACATCCTTGAATAAAAAACATATTGCTATTTTGTACTTGTTAAAAATAAAATTTAAAAATCACGGGGCCGGCCCATGTACCGGAAAGTCACAATGTATTATGTGTAAATCAGAACACAGTATTTAATTCATACATTATACTACCACACTCTTAATATAGATATCTCACCAAACCATTACACAGCAGCTGAAAGCCTGCCCTTCTTTGGTATAGGGGCATTGAACAGAGACAAAATGTCACTATTTTAAAAAGGTACACAAAAAAAAAAAAAAAAGTAAAAAATCAGTTATGTGAATATACGACAGTAACAACTAAAAGCAATGAAAACGCAGACTACATTTTAAAAAATATATTGCACAGAAAAATTCTATCACATATTCTTGGGTTAAATAGTCCTCTTGTAAGTTGTATGTTAGGTGAAATCCCAACTCTAGTAACTACGTATATATTTATTTATAGAACTTTGTTTAAAATTTACAATTTACATTATTTTTTTTTACCTATTTGATTACGTAGCCTTACTTTTTTTTTCTTCAATGTGTATGCATAATACTCGTTAGAGATCAGCATTTAAAAAAAAAAAAAAACTTAATAAAACATGGTTTCCATTTGGTTACATATTCCACATTGTGTATTTTGTGTATAACAAAAAATGATGGCTTTGCATTACATTCCTCATCATGCCTAGTCGAAACAGCTGTGCTGTGTTGGAGCTGTTGGCATTGTAATCCAGGGGATGAAATGGATTTGACATTTGAATCTGAATTCTTTACAAAACTTGTTAACATTGCAAAATCCTCTATCAATCTGCTCAGACCTGACTGAAGGTTCTATTAAGATTTTTGGCAATGTTTAAAGAGGAACGGTCACTTCTCAGGATTTGTAATATTACTTATATGTATATTTAACAAATCTGTATATATAAAATTAATGTCGTATTCACACCTCTTTAACATGCATATGTGCCTTCATTTTAGCTCCTGTTCAGTCTTTGTTATTAAGCTCTGTTCTCTGCTCCTGGCAGGCAGGATGGATAACTTATACAAAGAGGATACATGAAATAAGGTTTCTATTTCTCCTCTTAAAGGACCACTCTAGGCACCCAGACCACTTCAGCTTAATGAAGTGGTCTGGGTGCCTGGTCCAGCTAGGGTTAACCCATTTTTTAATAAACATAGCAGTTTCAGAGAAACTGCTATGTTTATCAATGGGTTAAGCCTTCCCCCTAATTCTCTAGTGGCTGTCTCATTGACAGCCACTAGACTTCTCACTGTGATTTTCACAGTGAGAGCACGCCAGCGTCCCATAAGCATTATGAATGCTTTCCTATGTGACCGGCTGAATGCGTGCGCAGCTCTTGCCGCGCGTGCGCATTCAGCCGACGGGGCGGATCGAAGGAGCAGAGCTCTCCGCCCAGCGCTGGAAAAAGGTAAGTTTAAACCCCTTTCCCCCCTTCCAGAGCCGGGCGGGAGGGGGTCCCTGAGGGTGGTGGCACCCTCAGGGCACTATAGTGGTCCTTTAATTTGCAGTGTTTGCCCTGGAATGTGATGTAATTATCTAAATCTTAAAAGGCTTAACGGACCACTAATATCACCCCAGACCACTTCATCTTCATGAAGTGGTCCTGTCATTTTAACCCTGCAATGTAAAACATTGCATTTTATATTCACTTATTTTTTTAGAAACTTGGGTTAACATGGTACTCCAACCTTTTTTTTTTTAAGTTTCTGTTTTCAAAGTAAAATGCCCTATTGGCGTTATACTTGAGGACCAGAACCCCCTGTTAATTAAAAAAGAATCCACACCTCTTTGTAAATTAAGGGCAGCTGTGCAAGGTTCAATCAAAGGTTTCTCATAGAGAAGACTATATTTGGACCATTTAGCCAGCTCAGAGTGCATGCGAATAGAGTTCTGGGCTGCCTAAGTCACGTGTACTAGGAGTGTAACTTGCCAACGTAAAAAAGTGGAGATTACTCCGTATGTACAGTGTTTCAAGTTGAAACACTGCTACACCACCATGACCACTTTCAAATCACGGAATTGGACCTAGAGTGACCCTTTAAATCCACCTCTTGCGGCGGTCATACCGACAGCCATTAGAGGCACTTCCGCTGTGCTGGCAGAATAAAACTTTCCTGTAGGGCAGCTTGTAAACACCCACAATGCTTATTGTGCATGTGCAACAGGTCCCCAATGGTCCTCTATGAGGGCATTGTATTATACGATTACCGGAGGAGGCCATGCCTCCTCATTTATGTGGGAGGCAGAGGGGAAGATGCTGGAAAAAAGGTGAGTAAAACCTTATTCTAAGGCGAATAGGAGGGGCTTGTATTCCTAACGATATGTTGAATTTCTTTAAACTAAAAACAGGTTTTTTCCCTGTAGTAATCCAAGCTTGCCAGCTTTTTTCCCCTCAAATAAAAAGAGAAATTAAAGAGAATACTAACCTTACATCTCATCTCAAAACCTGCAGTCTGTTTCTACTTCTGTGAAAACCGTTGGGACACCGATGCCATAGGTGAAATGCACCATGGTCAGCAAAACTGAATATCTCAGTATGTGCAGCATTACATACTGAAACACTGCCCATGTAGTGAAGTGGTCATGGTGCTTGGAGTAACCCTTTAAATATAAATGTAAAAGAAAACAGAGTATCTCATGAAAAAGTGTTAACACAAATAATGTCATTTTCAATCATTTATTGATGTAACTTCCAGAGAAGTGACTGTTCCTTTTTAATCATAATCTCACCAGGTATTACAAAGATTCCAACCAGTTATTCAAACATTGATTGGAACCAAGAACTCCCAGCCTTAGTATAACCAACCGATAGAATCCTATTTAAGGATGGGTGGAGTTTATTTAACTAAAGTAAAATGAGCCAGAGGTCCAGTTGCACCAATCATAACACCAGATGAGAATAAACTGGAACCAATACCGGCAGTTAAGTAACCGGACACCTCATTTAAAATACATTTTCTAATAGAACATTTTTCCAATTTCATGACTTGCCACATTCCCTTTGCACATAAAAATGTAACAACTCCCGAAGATTGCATGTAACATGACTACTATCCCAAGCTATACTATACAGTATAGCTGATGCACAGTGATCCATATTTCCGGTTTAACATGTCCTCAAAACGCTTGTAAAGACTAACATTATAAAAGTCTGAATAAATGGCAAAGGCTTACAATAATAAGCAACAGCACAATTACGTTTCTTTCATAACAGTAATACAAAATGAGTATTAGAAATTACTTAAGTGCTCGTTCTAAATAATAGTTATTGTGTAAGATGCACAGAAAAGTCTAGAAACAGATACACCTATTGTAATTGTATATTATAGGATGAAAAAAAAATGACTGAATTCCTTTAGCGTACAAATATCTTGGAGACCGTTATGAAGATTACATGTTCAGGGTTTATGGAGCGGCAAGTAGTAAGAAGGATTTATAAGTCACAGAACAAAAGTGATGTTTTCCTCACAGAAACAGCTGTAAATATATCAAAATCTAGCTCACTAGGCCTCATGAAGAAAATCAAGCATTGTTAAATTGGTCATAAATACGCGCCTGGAAAATGCACGCAACAGGACAGTCCAAACTCAGCAGGTAAACCCTGCGCTTGGAATAATGTTCAAATGCTTAATTTCATCAATAAATAATATGAGATCTCAAAACCTTTATGAGAAACCCAAAGTAGACAGACTAAAATGCATTTTGAAAGCAGTGGACCACTTTGTACAACACAGCTTGCCGTAATGGGTTTTGTAAAGCTTTCAATGATCCGGATTACATTCCGTTGGCATCTTCGCATACTTTAACTCTGTAGGAGATAGAATGTAACTATACTTTTTACCACAAAATTCCATCTGTTTAAAAAAAAAAAAATGTATCTTGTGGTGTGTTCTGAAGGAAATATCTAGGGACCATTGAGTATATCAGATTCTGCTATAGTATGAACTTAATACAACGGTCTTCCCATAAATCCACCATCCTTCATTGTAGAACCTCTAGAAACTAAAACACAAAACCAACAATTTCTCCCCTACATTAAATAACCAACTAAACCCTCTGGTCACCACCAGCAGCTCTCAGGAGATTGGCACCAAAATGGATATAAAAATCACTAAAGCCCTTACATAGAAAAGGCACAAATTGGGAGATTTCATCTCATACGTATAAAACTATAATATTAAAATCCCATTGTGAGCAACAGAATAACTGTTTTATTGCACCATTTTTGTCCAAATAGGTTTTCGGTTCTTGAGAAAATCAATACTGCTCGCTGTACTGTCAAGAATGGACATATATTGCCAAATAATATAAACAAATGTTTCACATAGTCTGTAGAAATATGCCCTTATTAAAAACAAAGGTAACAGACATAGTTTGAATTGCCTTTAAGGGTATAAGTGGGCTCCACCCTCTGATGGCAATTCAGGTTTACAATATCCAATATTTGATTTCATACATATACAGGCTGGCAGCCTTCCATTTCTTTAGCTGAAACATTATGTTCCTCCTGGGTTTCTTCGTTAGGAGAACATTCCATCCTAGAAGGTTTTGGGTATCGAAAAGGATAGCCATTGTCATCAAAGAACCTCCGGAACGTGAACTCATAGAATGCATGTTCAGTATGTTTATTGGTAGGGCACATGAGTGCCTCCCATGTCATGGTACTATCACCACTATCATTCCAGGGACTCTCTTCTTCCACTGGGTCAAAATTGGAGGTATCCGTTGGGTGGCTAATTTTTGGGACATAAGGTGCCGGTTGGCGACGGAAATCAGCAGAAAAGTCGATTGAGCTGAAGAAAGCGTGAGCCTTAATTTCATCCACCCCATTTCTCCCCAGTCTGTTGTCAGGCGAGCAGCATAACTTGGTAATAAGGTCAGCTGCCTCTGGGCTTAACTTGACCTGGGAGGGAATCTGTAGACTGTTTTCCCAGTTTATTACCTGGAAAGACAGACATTGAAAGTAAAAGACTGGTTTGAAAAGACAATGGATTATAGTTCAGTATTAAGATCACATATCAGCTAATATAGATTGTCAGAAGGAATATTTATTTGTGCAGTGTTAACATTAGGCCAAATCGGTTCAAAAAATGAAAGGTGAGCTGGTCCTGCACAGCAGACCTATGTGATGGCGATAGCCCTGAAACTAGTTACAGACAAACTTCCATATTAATATACCCACCCTCAGTTGCGTTTCGGTTGGGGTGGGGGCATAAAAAGGAGGCTGTCCCACCAGCATCTCATAGAGAATAACACCAACACTCCACCAATCACAGAGTTGAGTGTAACCTGCGGGACAATGGAAAAAAACAAAAGCAAAAAACAGGTTACCAGTCGTTCAAATTCAGTGTGTTTCATAGTTACAAAAGAAAAATATTAAAATACCACTGCAAGCAACTAGAGTAATGATGTTATTGCAATCACCATGCACAATGTACACGGTACAGACAGGCACATTCCAAATAACATTAAAAGCAGCACACCTTCAATGATCAATTTGGAACTCTGTTTTGTTGCACACACCATTCAATGACAACACACAAATAAGGGGTAACACGGCAAATCAGGACAGGCTAGCAAAGATAATATCATTCCAAAATAAACCTTCTCATTCCTCCTTCAAGCATTGACCTAAAATCAGCCTCTGTTTAGGTTAAAGAAGAAACCATTAACCTACAAAATCAGTGCCTTTGCACCACCCTTGACTGACTTCTCTTGCACTCCACAAAACCCTTCACCTCCTGCCTCTTTAATGCTGCTTCTCCATAATTCAATCAACTGATCATCAATCTCATGTTGATCACACAACCCCTTCCTATCTGTAACTAGCACAGCTAATGTTCTGAGTGTCCTTACATTGGATACTTTAGGATTCTATTTAAAAATCAGATGACACACTTGTGACACTGTATTCCAAATAATAACATCTAATTTATGAAGAAATTTTGCTTGGGTCCATCTACACAGCCAATTATTTTCAGCTGTAACTCCATTCACACAATCTGCTCAATATTTTGCTAGGAGGGCTTCCCTAATTGTGTCCCATCCATTTCATTTTTGAATGGGTCCTTTAAGAAACCTAAAAAAAACAAAAATTAGGGATTTAGAAAAGTCAGACTTACCTTTTCGCAGAAGGACCTCCGGTGCAATGTAATTTGGTGTCCCAACTAATGAATGAGCCAGACACCTCTGGTGCTGTCGCTTGGCACGGTGTTCTAATGTCTTTAGCCGGTCTCCGCACCTGCAGTTTGACACATCATCCCAAAGTTCACTTGGTTCCATGCTGTCTTGTCTGATATGGCTTCCTAGAGGGGAGGTAGCAAATAAAGACAAGATCAAAGACACATTGATCCAATTTCCATCAGCAGAACTGAAATGTACAAAATTATCCCGTAAGAAAAAAAAAACCAAACAATATTCTAGCAAAAATGCTAGAATACTGAACATTATAACCGTAAACACTGATTTTGAATAGTAGAGAACCATCCTACACCAAACAATTATTTAAAGAGCACCATAGGAATGGTTCTCTTACCAAAATCAGTGTTTTTCTTAATAAATGTTTAGTTATAATCGATCATTCTAGCATTTTTGACATTCATTATATAAAGTTCTACTTAGCCAGATCCTCCCCCTCTGAGGAGGGAGGACATGGGGGGCCATGCTGCTATTGGATTCCTGCATACTTATCTCAGATGTAGAATATGCACAGAATTGGCATTACCGGCCGGGAACTCTTGCTCTGAGCTGGCTAATGATGACCCAATGACACTGCCGGAGGTCGAGTAATACCTCCAGCAAAAAAGTAATTAAATGCAGTTCATGCAGTGCTTCATAATGAAAACGATACATACTCCAGGCACCATGTACACTTTAAATCACTGAAGTGGTAATGGTGCATGGAGTAACCTTTAAAGAACAGATGACAACATAGAACTGCATGAACGGAAAGTGCAGAAGAGACCATAAACGCTGTAGGCCAGAGTTCCTCAAACTTTTTTCAAACTATGTACTTCCAGCAAATTATTGTTCACAAAAACAACCCCTAAACATTGACTTATTGTGCAAAGAACGGCAATGTGAACAAAACATGAACCTTGATGAAATGATAAAGAAAAGACATCTTTAAAGAATGAACAAAATTCACATGATTCAGGATTGCTTGGCACAATGGATAGCAGCACAATTAAATAGCACTCTTGCGCATTAACATGCTCAAAGTGCATCTTTTTACCTTTTTGGTAATATTTGGAGTTGTGGGTCCACCTAAATCCAGTACAAAGGCCAAAATCTGTCAGTTTGATATGACCATCCAAGTCTATGAGAATGTTGTCCGGCTTAATGTCCCTGTGAATAAATCCCATCTTGTGAACACTTTCAATGGCGAGAGTCAGTTCTGCAATATAGAACCTGGCAAGGTGTTCTGGAAACACCTCCATACGTATAAGGAGACTCATCATGTCCCCACCCGGAATATAATCCATCACAAAGTACAAGTTGTCCTTATCCTGGAAGGAGTAGTAGAGTTTCACAACCCACTCATTGTCCGCCTCGGCCAGGATATCTCGCTCTGCTTTCACGTGAGCCACCTGATTTCGGTTCAGCACATCCTTCTTTCTCAGGGTTTTCATAGCATACAGAGCTTTAGTGTCCACTTTGCTTGCCAGGCACACTTCACCAAAAGCACCAATGCCCAATGTCTTTATCTTTACAAACAAGGACTTGTCCATTTTGGCCCGTTTTAGTCTGTTGTAGTTGGACTCCTTCTGATAAAGGATTTTCCGCATTTGCTCTTGGACAGCTTCGCAGAGGCCAGCCTGTGGAACAGAAGCACAAAAATCAGTATTTGGAATCATTAGTAGATAATAAAACTAAAAAGAATAAAGCCATTTCCGTTCTTTCCTTTGCTCAGAAGACCTAAAGAAAGTATTAATAGTAAAAGATGCTGCATTCATAAGCTGCTCAGAAAGTTCACTAGAAACAAGAGTCAGACAGAAAGAGAAAGTAATTTTTTTTTTTTTCAAACAAGAACATTCTAAAAATTCCAGTTGTTAGGGAGGGGTTGACACAGAGAGCACCTGGACACATACCAAGAACTATTGTTGCATTAAAGAGGAAAAGGTAAAGTGGGAATAATTCAAAAAGCCTCCTGTCCCAATCTAGTGACAGCAAAAATAAAATGATCTGATAAACAGTAATGCTAACGATGTGAATTAGTTAAATAACGCATATACTAAAACGGATTAAGGGATGGAATCATCCTATCATTGACTTGTTAAAGCGAATATATTCTGCAGGTGTACCAATGATTAAGCCGTACTACACTATCTACATTGATAACATATTTGGCTCTGATAAAGTACCCTAGTACATAGTGTTTTTCTCAGTTAACTAAGTTTTGTTTTCAACCACATTACACTGGGGTAACAACAAACACAATTCATATTAGCCCCTTAAGAATGCAGCCAAATGTACAAGTTGTGATAAAAACAAAACGTAAACAAAACCTGGCATTTGCGCTATATGTCTGTCCAACCGTAATTCACCTCTATTATATTAAATGCACCCACACTTATTATATATCATTTTATTCAGGGGAAACAGAGCTTCAATTTAAAATCAGATATTTAGGTATGGAACATATTTTAATATGAATAAAATATTTTTTTTTTAAATGGGAAAAAATAAGATTTTTTTAAATTTTCTTAGTTCTACATGACATTTTAACTGTGAATGTCATAATACGGTTTGCTTTTACTGCAATAAAATACACATATTTGTATTCAGCGATGTCTCACGTGTAAAACAGTACCCCCTATGTACAGGTTTTATGGTGTTTTGGGAAGTTACAGGGTCAAATATAGCGTGTTACATTTTACAGTTTTTTCACATTGAAATTCGCCAGATTGGTTACATTGCCTTTAAAACCATATGGTAGCCCAGGAATAAGAATTACACCCATGATGGCATACCATTTGCAAAAGATGTCAACCCAAGGTATTGCAAATGGGTTATGTCCAGTCTTTTTTAGTAGCCACTTGGTCACAAACACTGGCCAAAGTTAGCGTTAATATCTGAAAATGCAAAAAACTAATCTGGACGCCAATTTTGGCCAGTGTTTGTGACTAAGTGGCTACTAAAAAAGACTGAACGTACTCCATTTTCCATACCCTGGGTTGTCTACTATTGCAAATGGTATGCCATCATGGGGGTAATTTTCATTCCTGGGCTACCGTACGGTCTCAAAGGCAACATAACCAACCTGGCAAATTTTTATGTGAAAAAACTGAAACACAAGCCTTATATTTGACTCTAACTTTTGAAAACACCATAAAACCTATACATGAGGGATGCTGTTATACTCGGGAGACTAGAGCTGAACACAAATATTAGTGTTTCAAAACAGTAAAACGTATCACAACAATTATATCGTCAGTGTAAGTGCCATTTGTGTATGAAAAATGCAAAAAATGTCACTATCACTGTCGATATCGTAATACATTTTACTGTTTTGAAAGACTAATATTTGTGTTCAGCTAAGTCTTCCGTGTAAAACAGTACCCCCCATGTACAGGTTTTATGGTGTCTTGGAAAGTTACAGGGTTAAATATAGTGCTAGCAAATTAATTCCCTGAACTTTCGGCCTGGGTTGTCAGACAGGTCCTGCAAATTGTAATTAATAAAATGACCTAATTATGTAAAGTTATTACATAAATATATATACACACACATATATATATATATACATATATATATATATATATATATATACATACACACACACACACACACACACATACACATATACACATACACATACACACATACACGTGTGAAAAAGACCCGCAGGGGTCGAAACATCGGTTCTTTTTGCTGTATGCACATTATTTAAATAAAATCAAAAACATTTCACCAAGACCTGTGAGTGCATCCTGGATTCTTTTTCGTTTACATATTGGACGCACCCAGGCGGATATACAGATAAGGAGAGCGTCAAGCTACACACACACACACACACCATAAAAAAAAAATATATATATATATATATATATATATATATATATACATACATATATACATACATACATACATACACACACATATATATATACACATATACACACACACATATACATATATATACACACACACACTATATATATTATATACACATACATACACACACGCGCACACTCACACATATATATTCTAAGTATATATTTAATTTTACACTGTTTTAATCTATATTTATTCATTTTTCAGGCAGCAGGGGGAGTACCTGGCACTCCCCCTGCTGGCAATGCCTTGGACCTCACGATCACATGGCCCAGGGGGGCTGAAGAGGACGGAGGGGGACTCCCTGGGCTCCCAGGTAAGTCCCCATACTGCGAACGTCGGCGTCCGGGTAAGTACATAAGATCGCAGGGCATTCTATGTCGCTCTGCGGCGTTTAGAGCCATCAAAATAGGGACGGCATAGACCGCCCTGCGGTCTTCAGGGGGTTAAAGGGAGACTATAGTCACCAGAACAACTACAGCTGATTGTATTTGTTCTGGTGAGTTTAATCATTGCCTTCAGGCTTGTTGCAGTCAACATTGTCTTTTCAGAGAAAATGCAGTGTTGACTCTACAGCCTAGTGATAACTCCACTGGCAACTTCTCAGACGGCTACTAGAGGTGCTTCCTGGGGTAGTGCTGCATAATGTGACTGACATTCAGTGTCTCCACCCTCTGCATGGAGACACTGAACTTACTTCATAGAGATGCATTGATTCAATGCTGTGTTTGGCTTGTGCTTGCTCTGCCCCTAATCTGCCCTCCTTGACAAGCCCAGCCAAACCAATGTGATTGGCTCAGATCATCACTTCTAATGATCTCAGCCAAGGAGGCAGATCAGGGACAGAGCCAGCAGCAGCAGACTGGAATAAAGCTAAGATTTTACTATAAAAATAGGGGCAAGGTGGGTTAGATGGTGGTTTTAGCACTATGGGTCAGGAATAGGTTTGTGTTCTTGACCCCATAGTGTTCTTTTAAATTTTAGTTTGTCATAGTTCTTAGACAACACAATTCTAAATGTCATTTTATTCCAGCAGCCATCTTATGAAGGTCCTCGATAGACCTTACAAGAGAGTACAGCACTTACCCGGTTCCTGGCAAATGAAGCACAAGGAACCAAAGAGGACAGCAGCATGAAGATGACAGCAGCCACAAGGGACAGCTTATAGCAAGTAAAACTACCTCCCCTTGCAACCCTTAGCACCAGATCCACAATGGATCTGTCACTTTTGGGGACCTGTGGGAAAAACAATAAGATCCTCGAATCTATGTTTCTCACTTATGTTTTGCCTTGTTTATTTCATTCTTGTGGTACCTGCGTGTACTTCATTACTATACCTTGATTCACGCGCACACTCTTAAAATTAAAACTAAACAAAACAAATTAATTTACCCAAAAAATAATCCGTGAAAGTGACAAAGCAGCTTTAATTATGGTCTCCTAATTTGTTTGACAAAATAAAAGGCACGGGGGGCGGGGCCTGACAGCCAAAATGGCCAGCCGCACATGCTGAGAGCTCCTGCAGCAGCGGGTAAAAGAATTACCATAACGAGCGATCCAAAAGTGCTAGTGGCAAACGGCACCAAACACAGGAACACATGAGCTACAAACCTATACCGGCCCAGCACCGGAGCGCCGGGGAAAAACCAACACCGGCCATGCGGCCTACACCAGAGCGTGAACTGAGGTCTGGGGGAGGCGGCCGATTCCCCGGCTCGGGACGCGCTCACAAACGAGAGCACACAACAGCCCTGCTGCCCCCCCCTCTCTGGACCGGCGGGGGACATCCCGGTCCTCGCTGGGGATGAATACCCCCACATCGCTGACAGCCCAAGCGACAAAACTCTCATGCACCCAGGACAGTCAGGGCCTAGACAAGATGGCAGCACAGAAGCAGACAAAGACAAGGCACACACTCACTGCACCACCCAAGCACACTCCGGAATTTTACGAACGGCTCGGCAGTTAGATGGAGGCGTGGATCCGCCCGGCTACCCGGCGCTTCCTGCGGGGGAATATTCCTCGGGAATATAGAGCAGCCTCCCGCTGGCAACGGAACCGCAGAACAGCAGAGCGGGAAGCGTCGCCATGCTCCCCAGACAGCACCAATCACGCTCCCAGGCTTCGGAGACGAACCCGCCGGTGCACACGACCTGCCTACCACTCAGCGGTCCCAGCAGCAGCCAAACGGCAAGGCGTAAATCCGCACAAGGGGACACACAAATCCCAATGAGCCATCGCTCATAACACAACAGGGTTGCCGACCGGTGGACCAAACCGGCAAAGAGCCCATCTACAGCTTGCCGGGAGGAGAACCTCTGGACCTCGGTCCTGCAGTGGGACTAATGTGGTGAGAGTGGGGGTAGGGTGATCCACACATGTGAGACTCTGCCTAGTGCCATCCTTACCCCTCGCCATACTTACCTACCAACACAGCATGACAAGAGTCCTGAACACTCACAATTGAAATAAAGTGTTTGAATAATCTATTACACATGTAACACCCATATTCTTTGACATGTTTGTTAGGCTGGTTTTACTTTAGCATTTCTCTCACATGTAAGACATGCAACTGTTATCGATAAGGCTGGAGCCAATGTATGTTTAGTAAATTAAGCTAGATAATGCCAGCACGACAAACGTGCAGCCAAGTTTATGCCATGAAAGTGCCAAAGCTGAGTTTATTTTCTGCCTTACTGCGCTGACGTGGCATTGTGAATAGTCTCTGGGTAAAGCTAACACTTAAACAATGCTCTAACACCATGGCAGACCAAGCCTGTCTAAGTAGTGAGCTTGCTGCTCAACGCCTGTGTCTAGTTAACCTCCAAAGTATTATCTTTGTTTAACTTTAGGAATGTGAAATGAAGCCGGTTTATATTTTTTATGTTTATATTGCCTACATCATTAACAAAACGTGCCGCTACTTTAAGGCCATACCGCTATAACTGGATATAGACACCTACCTGCCATTAGTATGGAACTCAGGTTGGCATATAGCACGACATATCCCAATCCTGCAGCACTTAGTATTTTTGCACCTATACCTTATGTACCTATAAAAGTTGTAAACTCACCCTTAAACTTGGCTTGTACTCACACACTAGCTCTTGACACAGCATAATAATTTTTATGACTAGATAGTAAAGCGCTGTTACATAGTGTTCTGAAAATGCCGCAGCAACCTAAACGACGAAAACCTGTATTGTTTATCACCTAACCTATCCTTACGAAAAATGTGTTATATATACCATGTACCTCTTTGTTTAAATGTGTACAATATGCTGGAGGATTGCCTTTGGGGTACCTCATATGCACCTGTTCAAAGCCTATACACTACAAAAAAAAAAAAAAAAAAAAAAAAAAAACAACAAATAAAAAATAAATAAAATACAAGTATCCCAACACAAAAAACAGCTTCATAGGACAGCCTCCTAAAACTTATTGAACTTTACACTCAATTACATTAAGAACTTTAAAATCTACAAATATGTGCAAAATACCCCTTCTCATAGCATCTGCAAAAATGAAACCAAATATGTGTATGAATGGTAAATAAATGAATAAAATTCACGGACCTGAACGGAGTGTATTATGGATACAGGTAATTTTTTTTCTGTTAAAAATAGGATGTAATGTGATCAATTTTCGCTTACATGTGTATTTTCTACTGGAATCCTGTTTTAGTAACTTTTACTCCTGGCCCCTGTTTATTTTAGTCAGCTCTCCCAGTGGTAAAAGGGTAGTCCAGAAAAGGACCCTTGCTCACTGTGCCTAGAGGGGTATCAGCTACACCTCACTGACGAGGTCTAACAAAGCTAAATCGTTTGTAGGGGTTGCTGTATCTCGTGTACACAGGCAGTTAACTGGCATTTAGGGTCTTTCCAACAACATTAAGGTGGGAAAAATATTTGGGTTGTTGTTTGCTCTCCGTATTCTCTTGCACGCCAGTTTGGTTTTTTGGCTTTTTTTAATCTCGACTGCATTGCATTCACATAGTTGTGCTGTATTGTTCTTTATTTATTTTAAGGGACACTGTAATATGCCATATGTACTACCTGTACTCTAATACTATGACAACTAATTCTAGCAATATGTTATCATGCAAGGATGTTCCCTGTTCCAGTGTACCCGCAAGTATGTGCTTACAATACTGTCCTTGTTGACAGACATCATAAAAGGAATCTGTGCTTATTCCTCTGCTCAAAACGTGCACACTATAAACGTTTACCCAGACTCTTCACTTGTTATTGTAAAGGAGCCTAAGTTGTAGCTGTGAACAGTCTCGACTGATAGACAACTTTAAAAAAATTAATCCGCAGTGAAGCTTCTATTCACATATGGAGCAGTTCATTTTATTTGATTAGCAGAATCTGTACAAGTTGTTGAGGACAAGTAGGTTATGGGTTAAAGGGGTTGCATAACTCCCATTAAAAACAATAAGAGCGTCAGGATTGGCTGTGTCCCTTCCTTTCACTGAGGAAATGAAAAATCCTGTGGATTCGTAGCACATGTGGGCAGTACAATAACATATGTATACGATTTATTTTTATGCTTAATAACGTTCCACAAAATACAGGTTGCATTCAGCCTTGCGTGTTCCTTTACCTGAACATACATTATAATGACACATTACTTATTTTAAAGTTCTGCCCAGAAATACATTTTGAAAGGTAAAACGCATCTCTTCGAAAACATACTCCTTTGATTTCTCAGAAACAATAACTCCATAGCAGTCACGCAATTCAATGGAAGTCAGTGACAGCTGTCCTTCCTGGGTGTGTCACATATTGATTTTAACATATGCAAGGGGAGTACTAATGCACTGTATATTTATGGCCAACAGGCATTTAACATCGGGGTTTGTAGAAGGAGATAATAGGAGACTGATATCTGACAATATTTCCATCAGGGAGATCCAGGACGCTCTTATTTTGCCATGATATTGTTTGTACAGTTTGGAGAAGACATTTAAAGATTATTTTTCTAGACCATTGAATTTAATGTGCTTGAATATTATTCAAGTGCCCTTTAATGTGGTTATCTGCTGAACACGCTGGTTAACTCAGTTTTAACAAAAGGTATTTTAAAACGCCTTCCCCAATATAAATTTGTGTGTCCTTCAAGTTACTAAAAGTGTTCGAAATAAAAACAGGAATTATTTCTTACGTAAAATGCAAAATAAGAAAGTTTTTGACACTATTCCTGGGACAACCATGCTTAATATGATGGCTAAGTGCATTATGCGACATACCCTTCTAGGTGCTATTTTTAGTGGTTTAGATGTCATTTACACAAAAAGAACTGGAGACAGCACAGGAAGGTCCTCACATTCTCAGTTTATTTCTTCCCCCGCAGCTGTCTGTACCAAGGTCATAATTAGACAATCTGCAAATACATTGTGCCCCAAATAACACCTAAACATAGCCAATCCATTACACCACTTTATCCAGTCTAATTTGAGATGGATTTCTGAACTGTTCTCGGTACAGTGAGAGAAGTCCACGGTTACGCCAAAAATAATTCAACCACTTAACTGCTTCTCTACCAAGTGAGTTATTTGTTACAATTGTCAGGGAACAAGGAGTAACATTGATAGGGCAGTGCAAATTCTTAATGCTTCACTATGGACATGCCTTGCTGTCAATGATCAGCAATAGAAGACATATAAAAGGAAAGAGAGAAAATTCAAAAATGTGCTTTGTAAATACTCTGGTACATTAAAAAGGTAAAAGAATGGGGACTATAACAGAACCCCATTTTCCAACATTCCAAAATGTGTCTTTTACCGATGCGAGAGAGAGAGAGAGAAAGCAACACTTAATTTAATGAATATACAATGTGTGTACCAGTGTTAATTTTGTCGACTAACAATTTTAGTCAACTAATTTTTTTCTGAGATTTAGTTGACAAACAATTTAGATGACTAAAATACGACTAAAACAAAAATGGAATTTTAGTCAAAAGAATATGACTAAAACTAAATTTAAATTTGCTGCCAAAATTAACACTGCACACATGGGCTGTGGAAGTTTAAAAAGAGACAGACCAGGGCTTGGGAGAGAGACATCTAGAGGGGCTGGGGCAAAAGAGACAGAGAGACTAACTAAACCCATCAGATTTTACTACTGGAGATTTAGTCAACTAAAATACAACGAAAACAATTCAGAAGACTAAAATATGACAAACTAAAATGGCCTTTTCAGTCAATAGACTAGGACTAAAATTAAATTGAAATGTACTGCCAAATTCAACACTGGCATGCACACAGCTATTAAATGTGTTAGAATTTAAAACTTACAAAACTATTTATTTGGTAAGGCACGTAATTTAAATTAGATTAGAAGGTTGCTTGCCATAATGTGCCAGGACTACAGATAAGGAGACAGCAGTAAACATTTAAGTGTAGCGCAATAAAATATACCACACAATTACCTCTGCCATTTCTTGCTCCAACTGTAGCCTTCTATTGATCTTTTGCTGGTAGGTCTTCAGGATATTTTCCACATGCTGCTCCATGTAGAACTTAAAGGCAAAGGGTGAGTAACTCTTTATTCTAGACTCCCGCTTCTCTTCATCCTTGGTATTCTTACGCACCGGAACAGGGGATGTTTGGATTTGCTTTTTATCTTTCTTATCTTTTCCAGAGCCAACTTTGGGATTCTTGCTTACTTTCTCATTTTTGGTCTCCATGTTTACTTCCTCAACTGGAGCACATGCCGTATTGTCCGCAAACCTAAGACTCTGGTCCACTCCCTTGCACAAAGAGTTCACATCAAGCTGTTCTGAATTGTTCGGAGGCAAGAGACGCTTTGGATAAGGAGGTGGAGGAAATCTCATATCCTGATTTCCATAATCAACATCTATTCCATATGCACCAGCACCTTGAGCTGGTACATTGTGAGACTCCATTATTTCTAAATTTTCTGTCACTTGTGCCTGAGCTGCCAACCAAGCTGGATGAGAAGGGCCTACAGCAGTTTGGGGTTCAGGTCTCATCACCCTCATGCTCTTCACTGGTTGGAGAATATGGGCTGATGTAACAGCCGTGATGGTATTCGGTACATCAGATTTGCTTGGTGGAGTCTGTCGAATCTGCACCTGCTTTTGTTGTTGATGGTTATTGAAAGAATTTGTACGACTAGGCACCTGGGAATCTGGTCTGAACTGAACATGCTGTCGAGGTGATACATCCAACCCTGGTCCTTGGAGGGAATCTCTCCGAGACTGTGAATTTTGCCACTGACATACAGTGCTGATATCATACAGATCCATATTTAAGCTATTTCTTGATGGGGTCATTAGGTTCTGAGGAGTGTCAGAAAACTCGCTTGTAAATGGGGAGCCTCTAGTAATAACATGCATTTGGTGAGAGGATGGACTTGATTGCTTGTGATGAGAGTGTTGCATATATAAACTAGCAGGTGGCTGCGGATATGCATGACTTGGACTGTTTTGAGGTATCTGTCCTTTACTTGGGATATTTACATAGGCTCCTTCTTGCTGTATTTTGTTTTGAAATGAAGGCGTTCTTTGTACTTGTACTCCATAACTCATTGGGTCTCCTTGCACGATGATGTTCTGGCGTCCATAGTGTGGATTGCTTGCGGTATGAGGAGGCTGCATCCCGAGACTTGCACCATTATGATTCCCAACAGCATAATTTATAGCCGCAGGCTCCAAATTTGTAGCATATGTCTTCTGCTGGAGCTGAAGGTTTCCAGGTGTACTATGAGCACTTACAGGAGGAGGCCTTTGTCCTGGTCCATTCATTGGTCCAGGAGAAGGTGCAGAAAGCAAGTACTCCATATATGGCCGAGGAACGTCACCAAGCATGTTGGCACCTTCAACTGAAAAACCAGGCCCTTCATAACCTGTGTTCATTGAATGGTATGATGGAAACGACTCATTTGATCCTTCAAAATTTGACCGGTGAGGCACATTATTTGGAGTTGAGCCCTTACCTTTAACATCAAGAAACAAATATTTAATGTAATTTTTACTTTTTTTTTTTTTTTTAAATCAAATTTATCAACATTTTAATACATGTCGCACAATTCTTGTAATTTCAAAAACTAAAGAAAGAATGTATCCATTGGTGTTCATATTAATAACTTAAAGAGGTAGACATATTTTTAGACAAAAACACGAAATTGATTGATCCTATATTACAAATTTATGGTTGTTTTGACTGGGAAAAATATATTACTGCAATTAAATCCCAGGGGATTAGCAGGCCTTGCAAACATTCATGTGGCATATACCACGCACCACATCATAAAGGGACATTTGAAGCACCAAACCCACTTAATATTATTCTGTGTGTGTAATTACAACATAAATAAAAAAAAAAATTAAAAAAAAAGAATGTAAATTTAATCTACTCCTTAAAGATCCTGCAGCAGCGGGAAAATCCTTTGGATCTGTAATATCTGCAGTGAGTTTCCTCTCATCCAGGAGGAGGGGGTAGCCTCTAAACCTGGTGGTGCTGTGTATATCCTGTTTCAGTACTACCAACTCTTTGCTGAAAGATGAACAGCAAGCAGCAGACCTGGTTGTGATTAACTTAATTCACAAACAAACATGAATGGTGTAAAGTAACAGAAGTTGACAGTGCAGTGTATTAGTTTATAGCTTACTTCATAGGTTTGTATTTTTAAACGAATGGAGTTACTGTGTGCCATGCATGCCCCCAGTATCAAGAGCTCCCTCATAGAACATTAACATAGAATGGAAGTATCTATGGAACATATCCAATCATCACATGGTTGACACACATACGGTGAATTCAAACCTGAACACAAATCTCATACAAATTGTACTAAGAGCATGCATGCATGCAGACTGGGATCACACCAGCCCCATTGTTCTGACTGGTTTAATACATTAACTCAAAAGGAACATCCATGTACCATAATCACTGCAGTCGACTGACCTGTCACCTAGCCTTTAGACGAGTTACCTGGGACCCCTGGGTGCCTGTGCCACATCTGGTCTTTTCCTATACGAGAAACCGGATGTCTTTATTCTGACACAAGGTCCCACTCATTGGATGAGAGAGTCCAGTTTAAGCTCTCAGCCAATGAGCACGACCCTACACTGCCCTGTTTAGAACAGTGGAGTTCCTTAGTCTACTGCATAGAGAATACAGAAACAGGATAAAACTCTTGGCAACCAGTGGAATCTAGGTAAATTGGCAAATCATTCCAAAAACAGTTTGAAAAATTGTTCTTAGTGGACTCCAGGACATTCCTGGTACCATAATCTCTACAGCTGGTTATAGTGTTTACGGTGCTTGGAGTGTTCCTTTAAAACCATGATATCAGCTAGGATTTGAGAGAGTAAGGCATCTTGCACGTAAACATTGCATAGAACATAAAGCTGTTGGGTTTTTTTTGTGTATATTAGTGTAAATAACGTGAAAAATGACAACCTGGTTAAGAATATTGGTAAAAATGACAATAAACCTAGATAGATAGAACCTACACCTTCAATGCTTATAACTGTGGTAACAGGGCACCAATAAAAATGAAATAAGAACAACTCTTCGGTGTAAATCCAGAATTTTTACCTGGTGAGGTTTGCTTAATCACACGGACAATCTGCTCATTCCTTGGGTCAAGGTATCCCATTTTGCTAATATATTCCAATGCAGCTTCAATACTTCTGCTCCCAGTCTGCTTCAGTGCTCGCACTGCCATTTCCTAAAAATAATTGCAAAAATATAAAGAAATTAAAAATAAAACCAAACCTTTACAGTGAAATGGTTAAAGCGGCTCGGTCAGTTCCAAGTACTTCCTAAAAATACAATCTTTATGAAATACTCATGTTGGCTGTTGGAATTTTAATTGAGGTTTCAACACAGCTTGTTTTATTTATAAAATATTTTACCAAGAAAGATACATTGAGATTTCTCTCGTTTTAAAAAGATACCATAAGAAAAAGTAGGGACTACTTTATTGAAAACCCAGAGTTTGACAAACACCACCAGTATATGCACTGCAGAGTCTCTGCAAACACCAGCCACAAACAAAGTTTACTCTATGCATTTGACGGAGAAGATGAGCATTAACTGTCACATCCTGTTCCAGTTTGTGGATCATTTCTGGGTTTGGCTTCTGGTATCCAGTACTCTTTTTAGAATTCTTGTTTAGTTTTTCTTGTTTTTTCTGGTTTTCTTTATGCTGGGTTTTCTGGGGTCATTCCTTTATTCCGTTCCTGGAATTCCCTGTCTCCTGGATTTCTTTAAATGTTTGTTTTTTGTTATCACACCCGTTCCTGTGCAATCATTTTTGTTTCAGTGTTCCCTGCTATCAGTGGTCTCATGCCTCTTCTCCTTTCTTTGCAGGTATGTACTGTGTTTTATTGTTGTACTTTTAGTCATGCATATCTATGCAGTTATGACCCACCGTAATTTGAGTACTTTGGCGCCGTGGTGAGCTGCATACATCTTGGCCATTTATGTATGTCTAAATCTCCAATGTTTATAACATATATAGTACTTGGTTATTTCTCCTCGTTTTGCCTTGTTAGATTTTATCTTGTATTCCCAGTTCATGTACAGTCCTGTCCTGTTCTTGTGTACATGTTCCGGGTTCTGTCCTGCTCCGGTTCTAGTCTGGTGCCTATTCTAGTACTGGATACATATCTGCATATTATCAAGCTGCTGGGATCTCCAGAAACTGCATCAGGGCCCTGGTATGTGGCCGCACAAACCTTGGTACTCCACACCAGGGGGCGTGTGGTTAGCCTGCACCAGACCCTGATCATTTCCACGCTGTGACTCCTGCCATCATCAGGCATACAGGGGTCCCGGTCTCCGGACCGCCACCCGTGACACTAACAAAACGTCATATGACTTGTAGTTGAAAATACGACATGTTTGGCTGCTGAAATACTTCACATTATCTGCCTCTCAATTTTAAACCTATAGATACATTTTACCTTCCTGCTACACACCCCTTTCCTCGTTTACCTCACTTTTTATCTCTTCCAGCTGGTCGCTTTCTCCTTCCTTATATTCTGTAAATTGTTTCTTAGAGATACAGTGGGACCTCTGTTTACGAATTTAATGCGTTCTCCGGGACTTTTCTTACTGCGAAAAATTTGTAAACCGAAACACGGTTTCCCATAGGAATGCATTGAAAACCAATTAATCCATTCTGGAGGTCAGAAAAAAAAAAAAAGTCAAAATGAGCTGGCATGGAAACCAACCCACAATGCTGAACACACAATAAAAGGCATGCAAACGTCGAAGCTCAGCTCCCTACCTTTCCACAGCTTGAGAAACGCACCAAAAAGTCACAAAAACAACTGCAAACCATTTCCAGAGTGGCTCCAAAACTCTATGCAAAAGCCTCTCCAACACCTCCACACTCGATGCCACATACTACACTCAGACTCCAGCATGCAGGGGGCGGTGCTATAAACCTCCCAGGTGCAATGCATCCTGGGGAAACTCACAGTTTATTGTCTATATCAAAATTTGTAAACCAAGGCATTATTTTCAATGGATTTTCATTTGTAAACCGAAAATGTTAACCGAGGCGTTTGTAAACCGAGGTCCCAATGTATATTATTCTGTTTGTTTTGAGAATTTAATAGCAACTGTTTCTTGGTCCATGTTTATATGCCTGGATGTAATATTTATATAGCGCCAACACCTGGATACACAGTTTATTGTCTATATCAAACATTTCCTATTAGTAATGGATACTGGAAAAAAATGTGTTCATTGTATTCCCTTGATTATTTTTATGTTAAGTTAATTTAATGTAAAGACAGTATGATTCAATTGATAGGTTAATGTCACCATTTCATTTTGTCCAGAGGATATGTAAACTTAGTTTGAATTGGATTTTAATCTAAAGGAGGCAGTTAGAGAAAAAAAATACTCGATTAAGAACATATGCGGGAGACAAATTAAAGCTTAGAATGCTTGTGGAACGTACTCTATGAAAGTCATCATTCCTGCCATTTTTCTCATTCTCTAGTTAGAATGTAAACATTTCATACCTGCTTATTAATGACACATTTCCAAGAACTGCACAGGAAAGGGGGGGGGGGGATTAGTTTAAAAAAAAAGACATCAATCTAAATAGAACTATTGCCATAAACTTTAAAAATATCTTCTATATTTAATATTTCACATATATTGATCTCTTGTTTACATAGTATTAGTGATTTATGGTCGATGATAAACATTGGACTCAGGCCGAAATAATATTTTATTGGCTGTGCTTATTTAAGTATAACGTCTCGATTCTCCTCACAATAATTGTCCTGTATTGGTCATACTGGCCAAATAATAAAATGAACCGAGAACAACACGTGCAATTCGACATTTTCACCAAATATGAAGATGGCAAGGACGCCTTCGGGGAAAATTATACAAGTTGATTACTTGCATTTCCATTAGTGAAGGGCTAAAAAAAAAATTACCAACAGCTATATGCAGAGTGTGTCCGGCAACTAATGAACCAAACTCAGAAAGTGTAAGACAATCTTAAACAAAACAAAAAAAAAAAAGAAACAAGCCATGGTGAAAAAGAACAGATAATTACTATATAGAAAAACAACCCAGGCTGAGAATAACAGAAGAGGATATTCAGGAAATTAGGTCAAAACCAAACAGAATCAGTTTGCTAATGGTCAACAATGACAATGAAGGCTATTCCTTCATGCAAAACCTTACCGAATGTCAAGCAGTCGGTTGATCAGAATTGGCCAATGTGAATGTAACATTCTCTTTTGTCTGTGACACAAAAATAGTCTGTAAACCAAGCCGGCAAACAGTTGAAAAAAATACTGTCAGTTATGTCAGGAATCTCTCTTCACAGTCAGGATAAACAGTTTAGGCCATGTTACCTTCCTAGCTATGTCAAGTATCTGTTGAACCAGCAGCATTTAGAAATAATGAAGACTCCAAAAATAATGTGTCCACAAAGAGCATGGTCAAGGGATTATTCATTCCCAAAATGGAAGAGACTTTTTTAATGGGCTATGTTCCAGTCTGTGAGGGCGCCATAAATAAGGGAATGTATTGGAGATTACACCTAAGAACATACAGACATTCCTGTCTTGTTAATGCAGAGAGTATGTGACGAGCAACAGAAGCAATGTCTCTTCCTTATGAACGAGAATCTATAAAACTATACCTGGTTTACTAAAAGAAGTAGCAAAATAAATATACAAAACAATAAAATAGGATTGATATGGTGTTTGGCCATCAATGTAACTTACTGCTGGATTTCCAGCAAGTGGAGAACATTCAAGTGGCTGGCCAAAACTTTACATCAATATTGCATTTGGCCATCAATGTAGATAATGTGAATTACTGTAGGAATCCCAACAGAGAGGTAGGGGAACATAGTTTTACATTTAAGTTGATATTGAATATTGCCACCTATGTAGATAATATGGATTACTGTAGGTCTTTCAGCAGACGGTGAGGGAACGTTCAAGTAGAAGATGGCAGTTTTGCGCTCATAAGTTGTCAGAGCATGAAGAAACATGGTGTAAAATCAATTTTTCTAAATTTCTGTTCACAAATGAACTAAACTAAAATAAGGTGTTTTAAGAAGTTTAAAATACACCAGGTTACACGAAGAATAAAGGGCCCTACTAACAAAAGCTTTCTGCTACTTAGCGGAACTGTATTGAGATCTGTGGCTAATCTCTATTAAATCATCGCAGTCTCCAAAACTGTGGACATAAATATGGTCCATTCCAAAGCAAGAATTCTTGCAAGAATCACACAAATAATATGCAAACAGGAGTGTGACCAAGAAAAAAAAAAAAAAGTTAAGAAATATGCCATGGCTCTGTTTACAACTGGCAGTTGCCACATTTTTTATTTTTTTTTAACAAAAACTAAAAAAGGTTTGTATCTCCAGTTAGCCAGGAATGTGAGGTACAATATGCGAAGGACCGCATCACTTTAAGAAATAATAGTCCACTAAATGGGTTTACACCTATTCTAACCGTGGTGTATATTTATAATTTGCAATTAAATCTATTGCATCAAAATGCACGTTAATATGTATGTGGCCATCTGCTACAACATTCAAATCACAAGCCATGCATGGTATCTGGTAGAGCTAATTAAGCTACAAGAATCATCATTCATTCAGAACATGCCAATTAAATTTCACATGGACAAAAAAAAAACCTTTAGGTATTTTTTTTTTAATTTTTCCATAGAAAAGGGATTTTCTGCCATCAGAAGCCTTCAGTGATCATGCATGCCTACATAAAACAGAACCAAAGCAAAGCTGGCAAAACGCGGAAGGATTACAGGGAAACGAGAGACAGATGTTGATGTTTAAGTTTAGATTTTGCCCCCGGAGCTAGTAGACTGGATTGAATTTTCCTAATCCCAGCTTTTCCTCCCAGTTAAAATCTCACAGGATCAGTAATGTCAATATGGACCAGTCGCATGGGCTTTGTGGTCTGTACAGGCACGCACACACACTTAACGAAGAATTACAATGATTAGTTCTAACAGGATATCGGCACAGGAACAGAGTGGGACGACGTTACTGCTCTATAGTATATTAGAAATGAACAGAATTTATTGCTACTAAAAAGTACCCTGCAAGAAAAAAAAGTTAATATTTCTGTGATTGAGCATTCTTTGTGCAGTGAATTCCCATGGTTGCTCACTATAGGTTTGTTTATTGCTCGGTCACGCTTTGAGAAGAACAGACTGCAAAACGGATAAACTAAGTTTCGTTATTAAAAAAAATATATATAAACCAGGGAAGCCCTAGATCCGCCCCTCCAGTGATCATATGAGATACAGGAGTCCGCCTACCAGCCTCCCTTCCCCCCCCCCTCTTCCTCTCTTCTCTCTTCCTTTCCCACTGCACACCTTTTTCTTTCCCCCCAGTCAGGAGGTCATTGGCAGGACTGTGATGGTCAGGGGATAGGGGGAACCCATGGCCCGGACAGGTGGTCGGGGGTGGGGCCTGGGAGGGGGGGGACACTTTGGAGGTGGACAGCTCCTGGAGCCAAACCCTGGGTGGGGAATACAGTCAGGTCCAACGGGGGGGACAGGCGGACATCCCACACTGAGTACCCTGACCAACTCGACGAGCATGCAACCATAGCAAACTGGACGCGACGGACAGGGAGTTGACACGCCCCACCCAGCACCAGTACACCAGCGGCTTCCCACGACTGTCCACCAGCTCGGCCCCTTAACTAGAGGTCACCCCCCTAACCGGACGAACCAGAGAGAATCCCCACCAAGACACCGAACTGAACCCTGACTTGCGCTGATCAACACACTCCAACTATGTACATAGCATACACTCTTGCACACACATGAGAAACCAAGAGACAAGAAGAGCGTTCTACCAGGTTGACAGCCCAAAACTAAATGCCTCATTTCACGAAGGCGCTCATGGAGGGCTTGACACAGTTCACTAAAAGTTGCTTGTTACTATTGTTTTCTACCCAAGGTAATTGACGAGAGCATTGATATGGGAGGTTGGATATATGGCTATATCTGAAATGTAAAACCTTGATTGTTATCCTTCTTTCCCTCTGTTTCCCACGTACTTTATTATCTCAATAAAAATTGATTGGATAAAAAAAAAATATATATATATATATTTTTTTTTTTTTTAATTTCTAGACAATTTGTGAAATGCATCACAGTAAGTTTACCCTCCTGTAGGATTCATTTCACGGAGAAATTAAAGGGAAATTGGATTGGTGACTGAAACAGGCTCTCATACCGTAACATACTGTGAAGTTACGCATGCACAGTGCCGTGATTCTTTATGGCAGAATCTTAGGTGTATACCGATGAGCACTGCGCATGCGCCTAAGGTCCCCAATGCTCCTCTATGGGTGACGTCACTCGAAGAGGTTGCGGCAGCACCGAGGGAGAAACGGTGCTAGAGAAAATGTGACTAGTTTTATTTTAATTTATTTTCCTCAATCTGTGGGAGCCATAAACTAAACGGCCACATCAGAGCTGTGGCGTTAACAATACAGATATGTATTCCTAACGCTACAGTGTTCCAATGTACCCAATTGTACTGCTATACTTAAGGAAACATAGTTCATACATATTTTATGAAAACTAGAGTACTCCGGAAAAAAAAAAATTTTATTCAGAAAAATTGATTTATATATTAGAAGATTAGATGCAGTTTATTTTTGGAGATATAGCCGCTTAAAACTTATGCTGTAACTGGACAAGTTGTATTTAGAATGCATGCTTATTTCAGGAGTACCAACGAAAGTACGTTGAATGGTTGATCACTACCAGGAAATTTACAAGATAATCTGCCTGTATGTAAACTAAATGTATTTCTGATTCCTGGTTTAAAGATCTTATCTTGTATTTTGACTATTCTTATTCTGTATCACTGACCTTAGCTAGTTCATCGATTCGGTGTACCTCTATAGTGCTTGACCTCTGCTTGTTTCTTGACATACATATTCCTTGTATTTTGCACATTGAGCCCAGCCACTCTACAAGATAAGTATATCTTATCTATTGTTTTCCTTTTCCTGTGTGGATTCATTCTGCATGTTGGGTTATCCCTAACCTGACACCAATACAAAAAGCATGAGGTCTGTGCCTTTCGTGCCAGATAACACGCACAGTCTGCAAAACACGATCAATTCTCTATGGCTGACAACATTTTTGTAAATTGCTTTGTGTGTGCACAAAATGCAGAGAGCACAAAATTAGACATGAAAAAAGAGCAAAGATTATATATAAAAAAATAAAAACAATTTTAAAAACCTTTCAGGGTCAGGAGATACGCATTCAGAGAATTATTGAAATTCTTCATACATAACTGACCAGCAGAAGATTCCACAAGAGCAGGACAATCCATCCCTTCATATCCCCTGACAGCAGCTGTAATCCCCTTACCACAAAACAAGTCTGGACAAAATAGTCCCTAACTCTACACCGGAGTCTTGTAGATTTGATGAAGAGCAACAGACAGAACATCAGGACACGTGCTAAAAGAAGGGTCTCGAAACAGTGGTGATTTGAAAGGTACGTCCAGCGTCAGATAATGGCCCAAATGTCTGTTTCGATTCAGGAAACACTCTAGTGGCTGTCTGGTAGACAGCCACAGAGGGCAGGCTTAGAGCTACAATGTAAACAGTGCAGTTCTCTGAAAGTGCAATGTTTTACATTGCAGCACTAAGTGCAATAGGGACACTACTTCTATTAGCTGAAGTGGTCTGGGTGCCTAAAGGTGGCATGTGGATATTTTTATTTACCAAAAAGGTATGAAGGACAGCTGATCTCGAACACAAATCACTCAATTGCCCCAGAAATTAAATTATTTACACATATTAGTAGAATTTAAATTAAATTAAAAAAAAAAAGTGGTTTCAAATCATCCTTAAAAAGGGAAACCAACATCTCTCTTGAAATTACACCATTACAATAAAACAATAATTTGGAACCTGTGTTCAATCCAGGCACAGCCAGGGCAAACACTTCATCACCAGAACATAACTGACTGCTCTTTCTCTCTCTGTGCGATAGGGTGTGTAACATTTTAGCGATACTGTGCCAAAAAAAAAAAAAAAAAAATACTTTGAAGTCCCTTGGTGTGCTGGTCTTATTTTTTTAATTTTTTTATTAACTTGTGTGTAAGTTGCCATATGAAGCTCGGTCACCTCTAAGGACAGCCAAGATGTTCTTGTGTCCCATTATCTAAACTGGGTTTTGTACGCTGCGTGTTGGGGTCATAGACCATGACATTGTGTTATGTATGGGTGCTGAAGCTGTTTTGTAGGGTTTTATTTGAGGGTATGTGGGCTATGTTACAATGTGTAGATGTGAGAGTGGTTTTTGGTATTGGGGTATTTGTGGTACCTCTCCAATAGCACACCATCAGAGCACAAAGTTTAACACTGCCACATACACTGCTAGAAACACACAATGCTACGCGTGCACACGGTCACACTGCTAGACGCAAACAACTACTCCAACCACACAAAATACTTTTATTTTTAGCCACCTTTCTTTATTGTTCACCACTTAGCAGCAGGAAGGTAGCTTCCCTGTGGTCTAGTAGAGAGTCAGCTGGACGGCTATATGGTAAGGGCAGGTCCCTTAACCAGTTGCTCTCCTCTCGCATTGTTTCCCCTTCCCAAGTACATAGATCAGTTCCTCCTAGCTCTGCCACAAGTAAATTGATGGCTGCCCCTCACGTCTCGTTGCAGTCAGGCCAGCTCTGGGGGAGATCCTCCGATCTCCACAGCCTGTGTGCGTCTGGCAGTGCCATAGATTGCTGACCCGTGTATGCGCTGACTGCCAAGTGCAAAAGACAGAGCGAATAACAATGATTGACAGGAAGCCAAGATGGAGACACCCAATTCCAGGATTCAGGGGTATGGATTTCTACTATTTATTTTGATTTTCATACCTCAAAAATATATTAAAACTAGTAGCTAAATAAACAGAATATTAAAAACCATGGGAAGAATAGTTCCCCCTTTAACCACTTAAGGACCAAACTACTGGAATAAAAGGGAATCATGACATGTCATGTGTCCTTAAGGGGTTAAAGGGACAAGGCTGGCACTATAACCATTTCATCTCATTGAATTGGTTATAATATCTCAGGACTCCTGGCACAGTCCCTCCCTTCAGCGTTAAGTTATTTTTCAGCAGTTTACTAACTAAATAATTGTTCCAGGCTTCCCATATCCCAACCCCACATGAGGAGTGGCTAAGGCAAAAAACACACACTTCCATCTAGCCATACCAACTCATACCTACAATGGGTGCTTTGATAGGCTGAATGCAATCAGCTGACACTCTCCACCAATCACAGCTGCTCATTGCTGATCAGGCTTAGGTTCACACTTCAATCGCCCAGCACAGAATAGAGCACACTGAATGGATAGATGTCACTGGGGGACCCGGTAGCCACTTCAATTAGATGAATTAACGCCAGATATAGAGGGCATAAAGATTGGTAATGTCCACAATATAGGTTTGTTTGCGGATGATATCATTTCAATTAAAAGTCCATTTAAATCTATACATTCACTAAATTCTATTTTAAAAGGAGTTTGGAGAAGTGTCACATTATAAAATCAATTCTCCTAAAACACAAGCAATTAATATTTTCATATCTTGATTTGGATAAACTTAAAAAAAAAAAAATGAATACTTATTTGATGGGAAAATACTTTTGTTGTATATCTTGGCATAAACTTATGCAAAAACCTAAACAATATACATATAATTTTTAAACAAAAATGGCCCGACCTACAAAAAGACAAAAAGAAAGATTTTCATCTTACATGGGTGGGAAGAATGACATCAAGATGAAGAATCTTCCCCAAATAATATATTTTTTTCCAAACTATTCCTTTATCTATACCATTAAACTATTTTAATAAAATTCATTCAACTTTAATAAAATTTATATAGAAAAATAAACCAAGCAGGGTAAAACTTACTACTTTACAACATCTAAAGATAAATGGTGGTGGAGTAGGAGTTCCAGACTTTCGTAAATATTATACATCAACAAATGCTGCTTCCGCTATTATATTTAATATAGACTTCAACAAACCAAGATGGCTGGAGATGGAGTCAGATAAAATAAATTCCATTTCAATTAAAGACATTTTATGGTTACCTCCAAATAAAAAACTCCCAAAAAATCCTGATATGTTTCCTACTACCAAAATTACCCTTAAAGCTTGGGACACTATTTTTAAAACTGTTAGTCAATGATCTGGTTTATCAAGAGCCATGCCACTATCTATTTTGAATCATCATATTTCTCCATTAAGCAAGTAAAAAGTAGGCGCACGTAATAAAATTGTCTAAAATATAACAAACCAACCTATTGATATTAAAAAGCTGCACCAAAAACAAGTGTAAAACTCCTCCAAACACTTTAGTGAATATACTTGAAAATAATAAGGTGCGCTGTGTCTTTAAGACCCAATAATATAAAGTGCAACAAGTGCAAACTATTTGATAAAGTGCAAAGTGATACAAAGTGCACTTAAAATGTGAAATATAAAAATATTATACATACATATGTCCTCTCAAATGCAGATATACATAGAAAGAAGAGAGACACAAAAAAAAGACCAATAGTGTGAAACCGTATTAAAAATACAATATGAATAATAAATGCCAAATATTGCACTCACAAAAGTAGAGCAGAATAAGCCTGCTCTAACTTAAACAGCTTCTTCAAATTCAGGACTGCACAGACGAAAAAATATTCCAAAATCTTTATTGCCCAGCACAGCACCAATATATCACCTTCCTCCACATTCAGTATTCAGTTACAGAGCATTCGGTAGTATGCAGCATAAGGGTGTCGACTTGTCCCTTTGTAGATTCGCCGCCGTTATTACCGTCTGTTTCCTCAAACTTCCAGGGGGAGGGGCTTCCTCGGGTGCGTGACGTACGGAGCGTAACTTTGCGTGATGACGCGTTTCGCCGTGTTCACGGCTTCATCAGATCTGCCCATCCATATCCTTAACGTCCTTATATACCCATCTTAATGGGTGTATTCAGGTGACTACCATATAAAGTCTATTATCTTATTGCTGGTATCAATCAAATCAATTAAATACATACAAACAGTATTACTTTATTCAAAAAACATCATAATTTAAATTGCATTATTTAAAAACATATATATATATATATATACACATTCAAACACATCGTTTCCCCAAAGAAACTTATTTCAAGAGACATATTTAACCCCTTAAGGACACATGACATGTGTGACATGTCATGATTCCCTTTTATTCCAGAAGTTTGGTCCTTAAGGGGTTAAAGAAACATACTTAAAGGCATCACTACCCTAAGAGACTTATTTAAAAAGACACATTTATGCTGCATACTACCGTGCTGGGCAATAAAGATTTTGGAATATTTTTTCGTCTGTGCAGTCCTGAATTTGAAGAAGCTGTTTAAGTTAGAGCAGGCTTATTCTGCTCTACTTTTGTGAGTGCAATATTTGGCATTTATTATTCATATTTTATTTTTAATACGGTTTCACACTATTGGTCTTTTTTTGTGTCTCACTTCTTTCTATGTATATCTGCATTTGAGAGGACATATGTATGTATAATATTTTTATATTTCACATTTTAAGTGCACTTTGTATCACTTTGCACTTTATCAAATAGTTTGCACTTGTTGCACTTTATATTATTGGGTCTTAAAGACACAGCGCACCTTATTATTTTCAAGTATATTTCTCCATTAACATTACATTTTTGGAATTCATATTCTATATTCAATTTACATGAATTCATTTTTTTTTTTTTTAAGGAAATTCCATTACGTCATTTGTTAAAATGAAAAAAAAAAAAAAGTGATCTACTGGACCATGTTATCCCAGAATTCAATTTAAAGACAAATTAAAATAATGCTTTAACTCCTTAAGGACCACGGACGTACTAGATACGTCCGACAAATATATTACTTACCCGATCGCCACTGGCGATCGGTGTTGCTCCCGGTCTGGGGGAACTGCCTGACAGCCCAGACAGTCCTCCCATGGCAAATTAGGCCCCCTTAGGTCATGTGATCATAAACTTTTAGAGCGATCACATGGCCGCAATAGGAGTCCATGTATCTGCCTGCAGGGGGACTGCCTAAACGGACGGGCAAAAAAAAAAATAAAAAAAAAAAAATATATGAATCAATTCTAAAAAAATAAAATTAAAATAAAAAATAAAAAAACCTATGTCTGACCCTACTATTTGAATTAGAACAGAAATCTGATAATTATAAATGTAATGTGGATAAAATATTCACACCATTTTTATACAAAGAAATGTATACCATTTTTCCTCTATATTTATATAAATATTTACAAATTGCCAAACCATGTAAAATTAAACCAGGAGTTACACAATATCTATTGCAGAAGTTAAAAAAATTCCATTGATCTCAGAGTGATCAGTCTCATGTTTCTTGGGTCAGTAGATATATACTGTAGATATTCCCAGTCACGGTGACATCTGGTATTGTAGCATCTCTTGAAGTGCTCTGTGCTTTAAGCTTTTTTTGAAGTGAAAGTAAAAAGTGTCATTGTTGCTCAGGGTGGAAGAATTGTGCTCTTCCAGTAATATATAAACAAAAATCGGTTTTATTAAAAATAAGTATGAACGACGGATGTGATCAATATGCTTAAAGGGTTATGCCAACCTTCATGACCACTTTGGCTTATATTTTGACAGAAGCTAGTTGGTAGCTGGGCTGTCCAAATAGTCGTGTGCACACAGCGAGTTGGTGACAGATGTAATGATCTTCTCACTCACGTTGCACATTAAAAATGAGGAAGCTTTAGGGTTTATTCCCTCTGCTTCCCGCCTCCCTCCACTTTCAAGATTATTTTTTAAATGTATTTTTTTTTTTTTTTTTTTTAAATGAATGCCCTCTCTACGCTTGTGGACCAGAGTCCACACATGCGCTCAGAGTAGGCGAATGGTCAAATCAAACGTTTCTCTATGAGACGCATTTGATTGGACCTTGAGCCACATACCGCTTGATTGGAATATGTAGAACAAGCCAGGTCTGGATCAGATAAACTAGCCAAGGTTAAAACCAGAAAACTAGGAAACTCACTAATCGGGAAGCATTGTAAAAAACACAGTAGGGCACAGAACTAGGGTCAATCAGGATTATATAGGGTTATCTAGTCTCTGATTGGTCCAATCGCCCCAGAAAAGTGCCTGAACTGGCAGCGTTGATGAGGTATCGTTACGGATGCTAGGGTCAAGCATCTCAGAAACCTGGTGAAGGTGCGTGTGGGGGGGTAAAAAAAAAGAAAAAACCCTATCGTAGCTGCAGATGCGTGTAAAACCAGGTAAATGTATGTTCCAATGCATTATAAAACACATACACTGGCAGTAGTAATGTCACTGGCTTAGAACTTGTGAAACCCAAATCCTCATTGATTGTAAGCTTGTTTGAGTAGGGCCATTTACCTCTTGCCATTCTACAATTGTTAAGCACTGCGGAATGCAAGTTATAAAAATGACAATTAAGAAGTATAATTTCCCCATAGGATGGATCATAAACTGGATCATGCCAAAATTAGGGAACAATAAGGGGACAATTTAAACGGACTCTTAAAATCTGTATATATACAATGTATGACTGTGTCTCTTCAAAAAGATTCAGTGTAGGAGTCCCATGTCACAATAACAAGAAGAACAGACATGCAAGAAAAAACAGGTAGCGAGGATAGGCAATATAAACCGCTGTGTATTGGGGAATGTTCTGAATGCATATCAGCTCCCACATGCCTTGCCAAAAGTAGGAATAGATCATGTTTTAGGTTTTAATTATGTTTACAGACAGCAATAATTTTCTTAGCATGCTTTGTTCTGTTTAACCAATTCAGAGTTAAGGAAGAGACAACGCCCCTGAAAAAAAAACCTGGAATGCTAGTAATTATCCTGACACATTTCCTCTGGCTGTAAGGGAATTCAGCTTGCCCCCTCCAAAGGACCACACTGCACAGTCTGTACCAGGACTTCTACCACTGGAATGCTCAGAGATTCTTAACACTAAGAACAAAACCTTCAAACTACCCCCTATTTTTTTTTTTACAGTCAGACACAGGGGGTAAAAGGGTCCAAAATGAGAAACATAGAATGTGACGGCAGATAAGAACCATTTGGCCCATCTAGTCTGCCCAATTTTCTAAATACTTTCATTAGTCCCTAGTCTTATCTTATAGTTAGGATAGCCTTATGCCTATCCCACGCATGCTTAAACTCCTTTACTGTGTTAACCTCTACCACTTCAGCTGGAAGGCTATTCCATGCATCCACTACCCTCTCAGTAAAGTAATACTTCCTGATATTTTTAAACCTTTGTACCTCTAATTTAAGACTATGCCCTCTTGTTGTGGTAGTTTTTCTTCTTTTAAATATAGTCTCCTTTACTGTGTTGATTCCCTTTATGTATTTAAATGTTTCGATTATATCCCCCCCCGTCTCATCTTTCCTCCAAGCTATACATGTTAAAGGACCACTGTAGGCACCCAGACCACTTCAGCTTAATGAAGTGGTCTGGGTGCCAGGTCCATCTAGGATTAACCCTTTCTGCTGTAAACTTAGCAGTTTCAGAGAAACTGCTATGTTTACATATGGGTTAATCCAGCCTTTAGTGGCTGTCTCATTGACAGCCGCTAGAGGCGCTTCTCACTGTGATTTTCATAGTGAGAAGATGCCGGCGTCCATAGGAAAGCATTGAGAACGCTTTCCTATGGACTGGCTGAACGCGCGTGCGTCTCTTGCCACGCATGCACATTCAGCCGATGACATGAGAAGAGGGAGGAGAGTCCCAGCCCTGAGGGAGCCCTGCGCTCGAAAAAAAGGTAAGGCATTAACCCCTTCCTTCAGCGCAGCGGGAACCTGAGGGTGGGGGCACCCTCAGGGCACTATAGTGCCAGGAAAATTAGTTTGTTTTCCTGGCACTATAGTGGTCCTTTAACCTTTCCTTGTAAGTTTTATCCTGCAATCCATGAACCAGTTTAGTAGCCCTTCTCTTGATCTCTAAAGTATCAATATCCTTCTGAAGATACGGTCTCCAGTACTGCGTACAATACTCCAAGTGAGGTCTCACAAGTGTTCTGTACAATGGCAAAAGCACTTCTCTCCTTCTACTGCCGATACCTCTCCCAATACAACCCTATGCAATGAGGGACCAGGAGATAACATCTCACTCCATCCAAGCAACACAAAGAATACATGAATTCAACATGAACAAGAATCTTAGGCAGAATATTCCAGATTTATAAAAGAAATTATTAAATCAGATCCAAGATCCAAAAAGTTAAGGGAATTGCATACGGAGGTTTAGCAGTAGGTTAACGTAATTTAATTGATGTGACTAAGGAATATTAAGCAAGCTCCACAGCAGTGAAAGACATCTGAAACCCCAGCGCATCATGGGAGTTGTGGTCTTACAACAGCAAGAAACAGACTTCTGTGAAAAAAAAGTTATACTGAATCCTCTCACGAGTCCTAAATTAAAATGGTTATTGGGGATGCGCGTGCCATTTCTGTGTTTAACCCATCAGGTTTGCTGGGCTAGCATTGAATGGCCTACTACTCATTTAGCAAAGGACATTCTTAAGAGGAAGGGCGGGGGGGGAAAGTGGATACCACAAATTCAGAATCAAATAATTACTGGAATCTTGTATTTGTTACTCTGAGATGAGATGTATCCATTGAACAGCGCTACGGAATCTAATGGCACTCTATAAATAATAATTTAATATACTTCCTTGCATAAAACAAAAGTTGAAAACAAAATGAAAAATAAACAAATATAAAAAATAAATTTCACCATACAGCACCAACCTTTATAGCATAGAGTAACGCAAGAAAAGGGGAGTGGAGCTATTTAATTTTGGGTTTGTATACATCTCCGTAGATTATACTGTAATTGTCTATTTATGCATTAAGAGATGTATTCACCTAACATTTGCAGTGAGTTAAAGGTGAAAATCGTTGAGGAAAAGTTGTCCAAAATAAGAAGTTTTCAGTAAGTTTTGTACTCTGGTTTCAGAAGTCAAGGTAGATGTGGCTCCTAAGAGGTTAATGAGATTGCAGGGTTTCTATTAAGAAGTTAGAAGAAATATGCACAGAGGAACTGGTCCACCCTTTACCATTGTACGTTAGTTTCCTGTGACATTGCAAACATCTCTAACATTTTCGTCATAAGCACATTGTATTCATGCTCGTGACACAAGGGAGACGCTCCCCTTTTATTACACCAAAAACCACGAGATTTCTGTAATTTTATCTCCTGTGCCCCGGATTACTGTGCGGTTCTTGATCCACAGAAAGAACAACATTAAAGGAACATTTTCTATATACTTCCTAGGTGTGTACATGTTATTGGAATGTTCAGAACACCTAACAGTGGATGCAGCATTACACTCGTACAGAAAGTCCAATAGGGTCAGTCAGTTGTCTCTTTGGGTAGAGTTAAAAAACAAAGGGAATAGATTAAAAGAATTTTGACATGAACATTACAGTATTATTATTCCCCCTTCTTCATCTTGCAGCAGGCAATAACACAATATTAGTACGTACAAATCAATAGAGAATTTGTAACAAGTCAATTATAGGATAGCATGCTTTTGGCACAAATTTTGGAACAGATAACAGGAAATATAGTCAAAACCAGTCAAAGAGGCACTCCACCCAGATAACCTAATTCCAATGGGGCTGGGGTGCCAGAGACCTTTCTTACCTTACAGGGGTTAAACCTTTTTCCAAAAGTAAACTACATTCCAACAAACTAGCCATCTTATTAATCTTATAACATAACCCATCAATTAAGGGGACACAGTAAGTAAAACATTTATAATTGTATATGAAATGGGAATATTTGGCCTAGGCCTAAATTGTAAGCATACGAGTCCACAGGCCTAGCCTGGACCCAAAAGTTGCACATTATTTTGGGGTTCAGTTTATCTGGAAAATATAGGCCTAAACGTACAGGACACCTGTAATTTATAGAATATATGGTAGAGCTGGCATGAATTTTTTTATAATGAGAAAATTAGGAACAAAAGAAAAAAACCAAAGACAAACCACAATTCAATAAATAATTCAAGCAAAAAACACTGTATGATTTGTGAAATGTAATTAACAAGATCATCAACATTTAAAAGGACACTCAAAGCACCGTGACCACCACAGATTATTGTAATGGTGCAAGGAGTCGCTGAATGCCATTAGATGGTTTGACTGAAAATGGGAGGCTAACCGTTTCCCCCAAAAATAAATAAATAAATAAGTGTGTTTGTCCAAACACTCACTTAATACACATAGAATATGAAAGTTTCATTTTCTGCGTTATCCATTTAAATCTGTTCTAACTGAAAACGCTATTAACATCGGAGGCATCTGAGCCCTGCACGCACAGCCTATCAAGTGCCATTTAAAGACTTATTGCACCATAATCACTACAATAACATATAGCCAGGGTTTCCTTAAAATATAAGCCGCAGTTTAGTTTTTTTACATGTCTAATTCGGGTTAAAAAAAAATAGTTTTCAAGTAAAGATGAAATGTCCTTGTTGTGAAAATCCTCTTAACAACTGAGGCACTTCCAACAGAAATTAATCAAGAAAGTCAAATTTGTTATCGAACAGAATCCTCACTTGACCTGAAACCACCAACTACCCACAATGGGTACAATCATATTTTGAATGCCATGCATTGTTTGTGGTCCTTGCTATCAGAAAGAAACAAACATTCTCATCAGTTCGTTTACATTACATTTAGATTGAATTCCAACTGTGGCAAATCATTATATATATTTGCCGGGATTGCAAATCTAAACTATGCCTCTTTTATAGGTTACAGAAACCAAATTATGCAAGTCTTGTGTAAGGACGATGACTAATGAACAGGAGGAACTACATATAATTTAAAGAGAACCTGTATTGTACAAGATTAGGAGGTGTGGAAGAGATTCTCAAAATAAATTGTGTATCAGTGATGACTAGCAAGCAATGGATTTTGGGATTGGTTAATTGCTGAATAAGACAGTGGCCGACCTATATGTTACAGGCATGCACAACACAGCAATGTCTAAATACTGGTACTAAAAAAGTGTGGGCATAAAATAGATATACTGTACTTCTGTGGCCATAGTAAACAGCCGACCTTACAAAGAAATAATTTACAATTGAAAAAGTATTAACGGCTCTTGACGGAGAAAGAAAAAAAAAAAAAATTGGAATGGCACACTTTTTACATTTCCGCGCATCTGATTTAGTGACCAGTCCTTTCAATGGACCCCTGATATCACGATAAGACCACTATAAAAGTATTTTATAAGTATTTTTTATAGAAATATTAGTACCTGTCTTTTGACAAACATGGCTATAAGCAGGCAAAAATTGATTTCTATCCAGTCCTCATTAAAGAGCAATGGATTGTCTCTGAATGTCAATATTCAAGAATTTGAGACACACACTGGATGTGGTTTTATAAATGTATTGCAATGTGAAGAAGTGGGCTAATGGGCAGTTAGTTATTAGTTATAAGTAGAGAAAAAAAAAAAAAAAAATCAGTCATGCTACTATTTTGCTGTCACCATAGCTCATGGTGCACCAACGCTTCCAAAGAGGGGGAAAAAATGATTTCATAACATAGCAAAAACATAAACACATGACACATACTTCAAAGGATTGTGGAATTTGATCAATAAAAATAAAGATAAGCAAGTACTTGAAATTCAAGACAAAACTGTAACGCACATTGCAAGATCAACCGGGCACAGGCACAGCTTATCGTGAAAATGTTGCATCCATTATTTTAGACTAGCAGAATGTAGTCCTGGAGGTTTAAAAGCACTCCACTTTGGAATGCTGGGGGATTACAGCCTGCATGGGAGAGAAACGCAATTGTATTTATCTCCAACTGTGGAATCTGGACAATTTAACTTAAAAAAATATAATCAGTTGTGAAGGGTGCATCTTTTGCGTCACAAGGACTTTTGTAGAAGACCTACTAAACAATAAAAGTATTTATCTGCTTTTGTAATTAATCCTGTTACTTCCTGGTTTGGTTAGCTCAGTGGATCTAAATGCAAGAGGTAGGTTAACTGCCCAGAGCGCCTGCCTTGCAAAGACTTCTCATTGAGCTGCACTGGGAAGCCTGTGATTTGAACAGCCACAAAGTATGGGCTGGGGAAGAAGGGGAGGACTTGCTGCAACTCTAGATACTAGAACTACAGCAAGTTAAGATTTCATATACCGCCAACAAAAAAAACATGAAAAACAAACTGTATGCATATTCTCTTTGGGGATTCATCAACTAAGCTGTTATTTGTTATTACTGGAGTATGCCTTTAAAACAAAACACACATTCATTTGTGACAATGACCTAAAAAAATAATTTGTGTGAAATTGACTTTTTTTTTTGAGTGCAGGTCTATCTCGTATTCCTCCAGTCTGTTTGGTACTCCAAAGGAACATCAAAGACAAAGACAGATCTAACTCCTATATGAGAATACAGCCAATGGCATGCAAAGTTTTATGAGACATGTAGTCACATAATGGCATGTGCTAAATACTTAACCACCCCTCTTTCACTGGTCTAATTGTGGTCATAAGTTCCATTATTCCGATGAATAGACAGCTTGTTACTTCAGTATCATGGACATAAATAAAATACTTGGCTTTTCAGTGGTTACATTTTTTAATTTCTCTCCCTATCACTGTTGCATTATAGCATAATATAAATCATCTTATTGTGAAATGATTTTGGCATTGAAAGGCTGAGGGGCCCACTCCTGATAAGAAATACTTCAAATATTTTTCTGTAATTTGATTAAGATACAGGCGGGCCCTTCTATCTCTGATCCTTCTTTCCTCTCTGTTTGCTTTCTCCTGTCACTTTAGTGACCGGACATCGTGGTGGGGCTCTCATATTGTTAAATGTCGAGGGCTTTAACACCTTAACATCCCCAAGCTTCCAAAGTTTGTTCAGAAAATTCACTTTAGGGAGAGTGGTGCCCGTTCATTTAGCAATAGGAAATTTCAGTGGCTCCCCAGTGGATAAGAACCAAGTTTAAAGCAGATTTGTCACTTTCAGGGGTTTTTGCTTATTTTGCAAAGGCGCCAAAAGATGAAATGCCTAAAATTTGAAGAAATCAGAAGCCTCTTACCTCCGACCTAATAAAAAAGCATGGCATTTTAATTGCACAGAACCCAGTGTAGCCCTCCAATTCCTTCTAATTTAGAATTTCTTACTAAGGGGATTAGCAGTTCCCCATACATTGGATGGTGCTCTGGAGACGTGGACAGTCAGTGCTCTGGCAGTGGGGGCTGACCGAGCCTCATTCCTTGTGTGCATACTCACCTATTTATTTGGAAGGTGACATGATTGCAATGCATCAGCTCAAAGGTGAAGGTAAAGCCTAAAGCGCCCCTATCATCTTTCCTTGACTCTTAGCACTTTATGTGCCAGGAGCCCAATTCACTGCTGTGATCTAGTATATGCAACATGGTGCCACACTGGGGTCTAATGACAATTCCATCGGATAAACCATAGATCTAGCCTTCAGAAAATGAACAGAAGTTTACAGTGAAAACACAGTCCTCTATCAGCTTGGTGTTTGCCCCTAAAACAAAGTAGTCCCTTTCTTTCTCTTATGGTATCTTTTGAATGCAGTTGAATTTCAATGGAATGCCAACATGAGTATTTCATAAACAAGTAATCTTAAAGGGACACTATAGCCACTAGAACAACTACCGCTTATTGTATTTGTTCTGATCAGTATAATAATTGCCAACAGGCTTTTTTGCAGAGAAAATGCAGTGTTTACATTACAGCCTAAGGATAGTTCCACTGGCCACTACTCAGATGGCTACTAGAGATGCAGCACTGCCATTCAGTGTCTTTGCCTTCTGCATGCAGACACTGAACTTCCTTCAGAGATGCATTGATTCAAGAGATGCTGTTTGGCTTCTACTGGCTCTGCCTCCTTGACAATCTCAGCCAGGAGGGAAAGCATTGTGATTGGCTGAGATCACCACTTCTGATTATGTCAGCCAAGCAGGCAGATTAGGGGCAAAGCTAGCAGCAGACTGTAATAAAAGGTAAGATTTTACAATATTTGTGTTCCTGACCCTATAGTGTTCTTTTAATGAAATACTCAAAAAAGTTACCAAAGGTGACCAGTATTAAGATCATCCCTATTGCAGATTGTTAACATCAGGTCGATGAATCTACAGCTGTTAACTGCTGCTATATTGGACATCATGCGTCTTGTACATCATGATGTATTTCAAAGAAAAAAACAGGACATAGCATACCTGATCGCAACCCACATTCACCAGCTCCTGCAGCATTTGCCGATTCACTTCAATAGCAGCTGGACTTCCTGACTCATTGGCAAATGGCAGCAGCGAGTATCTGATCTCTCGCAAAGCCTTCTGATAAGGTGCAAACTTGGCTGGCTGCCGAAGTTGTTGCTGCTGCCTTGTTGACTCTTTGCCATGCAGAACTTTCGGGTCCAACAGAATCTCATTGGGGGGGCCAGCTAGTAAACCCTGAGCTGGAGGTTTGGCTGGCTGTTTAAGTCCCTCTCGAATTTCTTGCAGTCTCTGTCGGCTGTTTCCAGAATATGTAGTTGCGGGGAAAGTCTTTGGCCTCATTGTTGATACAGATTACTCCCACATACACATTTACTACGCCGCTATGATCGATGCCAGATTACTCTGTGCATGCTGCCTGCAAAACTGTCCGTTACTGTATCACAGGATGTGCGATTTGGCAGCACCACACAGAGAGATTTTCATTCTCAATCTGAAAGACAATATATAACATTATTAACTTCAGATTGGAAGCCCATTAGCAAAGGAGCTACCAAATACAATTTTAGCATGCAGATTAAATGCGAGCACACTGTGGAACATTTTGCAAAAACAAAATGTAAAAAAAAAAAGTATAAATGTATTTTCTATAGAAGCAATACGGAGATGAAGAAAAATATTACATATCACTGTGTAGACAACTATGCCTGTGACAAAGTAAGGACAGAGCACAATAACAAACATGAACATTATTGCCAAAATGTGTGAAAAAGAATACCAGGAGCCACATTGTCACTGAACAGATAGATTCTATTGTCCTTAATACAGCATCACATTAACCCGGTGGTTTAATCAGGCTTCAGAAAATGTCCACAAATAAGGTTCACTATAAGTAGCAACTTTAGCTTCCTTAGTGCCTTCTCAAAACCTTGACACTTGAAGGAGTTTAATGATTTTTGTAGAAGTTGTTACTGCATATACTATTACACCAAATTATTGGGTAGATCAAATCAGAATCACTATATACTGTCTCAATATATCACAAGTTTCTAGTTCCCAATTTCTAATCACCAAGTCCCCAAATCAGACCTTGTGGGGCGTTTTAGAGGTAAATGGTCAGAAACAAATCCCCCCCAATTAAAAGTTTACAAATTTTCTCCACTTTTACGAGTTTATTTTAAACCAGGCATCTTATCCATCAGTCCTTCTTCCCTGTCTGACATGCTATAATTTCTCGAGTGTTTTGATACCTTGCTCAGAGTGTAAGCTCATTTAAAGCGGGGCTTTCTTCATCGATTGTCTCATTTAATTTTGGAATGTCAATTACTTAACACATATGCATGTGTAATCAGAAGTAAAAATATAGGAGGTGATTTACCACCGTATCAAAGACAGTTTTTCATGCTTCAAGACATTTAAGAATCCTGCCCCCTCTATCCCTACACCCACTTTTTTTGGTGAGCCCTAAAGATAACTTAAATTTTGTGATAATTTGGGGGATACATAGGAGAACCTTATCAAATTTTCCATCAATTGTCCCGTCATAAAAGGGATCTATTATAGCCAAATTTTGTTCAACACTTAACCTTTGGTTCTTTCTTTGTAAACCAAACTTATGTGCATTGCAGGTTAATTATTCATGGTAAAAAAATACAATGTACCGAATCTATGCTTATTAACGTTTGATCTTTGATCTGATTCCTATGCCCCTATAAATGACCTCCAATAACCAGATATTTGGACCCTTGAGCTACAAGTTGTATTGTGATAATGATTCTGGATACCCTCTTTCACTTATACAAAAAGCATATAAGGTTCAGTGATATGGGTTATGTGCACATCTGGGCAAGAATGTCATGCTGCCTAACATTCTTGCACACAGACAATGTACATTGCAGGAGGTCAACATATACAATGTTACTGTAACTGTATCTACAACACATCTTACTTTCTTCCATAGAAGACCTGCCAAAGGAGTTAAAACAGTTTAAGAATCGCTGTAAGAATACTTGTGCAGTAGACAGAAAGCACAGAATTCCCTTCTATTTAAACCTCAAGCATCCAACAAAAACAAGACTTACTCATAACTGCAGAATTCGAGTGACCAGCTGTGCTCTGCATACCAATGGTCACACTTACCCAATTACACTAAAAAACACAGGATACAAGACTATTCAATGTACTACTCCCTTTTCTTTTAGAATATCTTTTTTTGTTTTTTAAATTCCGCTTTCCCCTAAATGATTTTGAGTGGTTTGAGTGCATAAAACAATCTAGGCCCAATTCATTATATAACAATGCCTTGTACTATAATTAACATGTTGCCATGTTATGTGCCCCCTTCTTCCACCAAGGGTTAGAAATAGTATGCCACTAAAGTATTTAGCACATTAAACATCAACGGTTATGGGCATCGACAGCAAATAAATACATGCAGAGTTTTGTTTTTTTAAAGTATTACACCCACCAAATTTCCAATGTTAAAACATATTGCCCATGGTGAGCATTAGGTCAAATATAGTTCATAAAGACTATAAAAACAAAAGTTAGAAAAGAGAACACCATAGTCACCAGAACCTTAACAGCATAATGTAGTGGTTCTGGAGTCTATAACCTGACACTGCAGGTTAAGCACTGTAAACACTGCCTTTTTAGAGGCAAGGCAACATTTACAGTGCTGCCTAGGAACACCTCTAGTGGCAGTCACAGTGTGCAGCACTGACGTTCAGCGTCTCCATTAGCTCATGGAGGTGCTGAACGTTCCCTATAGAGATGCATTGATTCAATGCAACTCTACCAGGAGATGTTAACTGGCGCATTGTTTTGCTGCACTTGCGCAACAGCATTCCAATGCTTTCCTATGAGAAGGCAATGAATTGGCAGAGGGATTGTCAGCTGGATTTTAGTAACTAGTCTGATTATTCCGACTACCCAACCAATGCTTGAAAGGAACACAAGTAAAGAAATGTTTAATCTCTCCCCCTCTGACTGTATTTACATGAAACAAAATCAGAAACCTCATGCAATCTTAAGAGTATGTGCCTTTGCACACTTACCTGTGCCTCACACAACACCTTCCTCCCAATAAGAGGTATAGGAAATGTGCAGTTTGTTGACAAGTCAGTTTAAAGTTCCAGTCGAAACAAGACACATTGCGAAAGAATAAGCGGCCGCATACCTTACCTTGGCAGCATTCTTAGACTTTAACTCTCCGAGCTCCATTTAATCTCATCTTCCTTTGCAAGTTAGAGACATGATCTTTGAAGACTGCTATGGAAGTCCAGGAAAAACAAAAAAACAAAAAGAAAACGATGGTTCCTCTCTCTTTGGGAAGTTGCTCCAAGTCCTGCTACGGCCGCCTCCTCTTCCACCGCCTCCTTTTTCCTCTTGGCGTCAACTCCTCAGTCACAGAGGCACATTCCAAGCTGGGGAGAATTTACAGTCTGATCAGTACAGAGAGAAAAAAAAAAACCATGTGCCTGCTCATGCAATAGGAATAAATAGGGCCCAGCCAACTACACAGAGCCATGTCAGTACTGTTAAACCACACGTTATACATTAAACAGAGGACTGGAATTTAAAAAAAAAAAATTTATTTAAATACTTAACATCACACATCAGATATAAGCATTGAAAACTTATTTGGCTGGGGGGGAAAAAAATGTCCCTAACTGCTTACTAAATTAGAAGGTACATAGAGGCTTATATCTAATGATCTTGTGAGACAAACTTAAAAATGAGTGGTGCAATAAAAAAGTAAACAAAATGAAAGGTTTCTACTGAATGCTCCAATTTTAGAACTCCACAACATATTTGTTCTTTGTATAAGGAATGAAGAAAAAAAAATAAAAAATAAAAATTTCTAGACATCAAATTCAAGTCATTACAAATAAAAAGGGATTCAGACATGCACGCCATCTTTATTTTTTAAGAATTACATCTAGCAAGCACAACGTAAAGATAAAATTATTAACAGGACTCACATTATGTGTGACATAGCCACTTTATGGAGCCCCCTCGTACAATCAACAGCAGCTAGTGAAGACATGACATTTTAAATAGCATTTTCTATAGCTTTTCGAACAGTTTAGCTGCTTGTGTTTAATATTTTTTTTCTGCAATAGATTTAGGATTTGAAAGAGCATTAATTCTATAAACAGTATGTCCTGTTTACGATTATCTTTTTGTATGTAAGGGAATCTAAAGACTTTTTGTATATAATTTTGTTCCCAAGTGCAGTATGCCAAATATTGTCCCACTAATACAAGTTTTAAAGAAAATGTGTTATAATTTGGATTTTAACTCTTAAAAGGAAAAAATAAACAATGGGTGGTATATATTCTCTCTTCTGGATGTGTTTTGTAAAGTTAGGACACAGATCATCTCTATGGCCAAAATTAACTATGTAGCACTGTCGCAAGTCACCAGAAGAATACCAACCATATTTCATTTTTTTTTACCATCACTCAATTACAAAGGAATTGCAATTAGATAGTTATTTTCGCCACATATTCTTTGCGTTCATATACCAATCAGAGCATGAGAAAAAAAAAAAAAAAAAAACAACATGATCTGCCATTAGTGATGGAGAATATTACATGAGAAAATGTTTGCTTCCAGAGTAGAACTCTTCTTCAAACACGCTACTTATTGGTATGAAGAAATACGAATACATGTATTTCCTGTTTGTTAAAACTCTAGTTGATGTGTACAGAATGAGGCAAGATTCATAAAATACCCAAACTTAATAGATCTGCTTTAATAAGGAAAATATGAAGTAGAATGCCTTGGATTGCTGAGTGTACTTCTCAAGTGAGAGGGTTTGCAAGTAGCTCTACCATGCACTGTAATATGTATAATGTTTCACTACAAATAACATTAGCGTGTAGGCTATTCACACCTGAACATCAATTAAATCTATTAGAATCAAACTGGTTCTACATACAACAGAGAAAGCTAATCGTGTGCACCCCTGCTGTTGCAGTGGACTATTATTCCCATTACACCAGCTACTACATAATGTAAGAACAGTGCCTGTTACAAGCAGTGGTTACTAAAGTTGGATTTACTCAGCTGTCAAACTATAACTCCCATGATCCTTTGAATGGCAAAACACAATTGGAAGTTTGAAACGCACTTGGTACAGGGTACAGCCATGCGGTATACAGGGTCAAAGGAGCGCAGCCATGCCGTATACAGGGTCAAAGGCAGCGCAGACATGCGGTATACAGGGTCAAAGGCAGCGCAGACATGCGGTATACAGGGTCAAAAGGAGCACAGACATGCGGTATACAGGGTCAAAAGGAGCACAGACATGCGGTATACAGGGTCAAAAGGAGCGCAGACATGCGGTATGGGGGGGTAAAGAAGCACAGCATTGCTGTATACAGGGGGGGTAGAGAAGCACAGCATTGCTGTATACAGGGGGGGGTAGAGAAGCACAGCATTGCTGTATACAGGGGGTAGAGAAGCACAGCATTGCTGTACACAGTGGTAAAGGAGCACAGCATTGCTGTATACAGGGGGTAAAGGAGCACAGCATTGCTGTATACAGGGGGTAAAGGAGCACAGCATTGCTGTATACAGGGGTAAAGGAGCACAGCATTGCTGTATACAGGGGGTAAAGGAGCACAGCATTGCTGTATACAGGGGTAAGGAGCACAGCATTGCTGTATACAGGGGGTAAAGGAGCACAGCATTGCTGTATACAGGGGTAAAGGAGCACAGCATTGCTGTATACAGGGGGTAAAGGAGCACAGCATTGCTGTATACAGGGGGTAAAGGAGCACAGCATTGCTGTATAGGGGGGGTAAAGGAGCACAGCATTGCTGTATAGGGGGGTAAAGGAGCACAGCATTGCTGTATAGGGGGGTAAAGGAGCACAGCATTGCTGTATACAGAGGTAAAGGAGCACAGCATTGCTGTATACAGAGGTAAAGGAGCACAGCATTGCTGTATACAGAGGGTAAAGAAGCACAGCCATGTATTGTCTCAATCAGGGGGTTACAATGTGCCGGCATGCAGGGGGTTAATCCGTGCAGCCATGCTGTCAGCGCACCTAGACTAAAGGTTAGTGTGGAACGCTCAGCACCGCGGGTTTACGTGTCATTAACATGTCGCGCGGGGAATACCCACACGTGACAACTGGCACATTACCGGTCTGGGGGAGATCGGGTCCGACTTGGTACAGTCCGGCCTGTAGTTGGGGGTACGCTTGGCAGGTCTCTGGTTTGCTTTCCACCCCCCTCCCCGTCTTCCCAACTGGGCACAACCGATAGAATGCAGCGGGACGGACTTGGACGTTCGCCGCATTGTTTGCATTCCATTGCGGTCACGTGGCAGGCCCCTGCCTGCGTCATTTCATTGGCAGCCCCGGGTTGGAGGAGGCTTGCCCAGAGGAAAGAGGGGGCGGGGTTTTCATTGGATGGACTCTGCTTTCCCCCCTCATTGGCCTCGCTGGTGGTTAACCCATTCGGTCCTGGAAGAGAAAAAAAAAACATTCCAATCTTTCCAGCAAGGTTATTTATTTATCTCATTTACAGTCTTACCTCTGGTAAAATTTGCATGTATGTCAGATACTCTTAAAAAATAAAAATAAATACAATCATTTTTTCTAGCTAATAATGTTATAATAAACCACTAATAATCCTAACATTGGCCTAAAAATAAACGTTTCTTCTGTGTGAAAAATCAGTGCTCACAAAATGTGGAGTAATATACTGATAGTAAATATAAGTGGGTGTTCTTCATTTTCTATGTAGACCGCGCATGCATAATTATTTCTTTCATTCCTACAGCTTTGAGGAATATTCCCTAAACAGAGAATTATGGAGAGTCGCCGAGGGATTTGCAATTTTAAGCGCAAAATATATTTTCTCAGTATAATTCAGGATTTAGTGAATAACCCAATGGACCGGGGTGAAATGGAATGCGGATGTTTCTCCGGGAATATTATCGAATCTCAAAAAGAAAAATGCTTATTCGAAATCCCTTCACATCATGGTAGCAATCTTTTTTTTTTTTTTTTCAAATACATTTTTTATTATAATTTTGCAAATTAAACAAGTATTAAAGAAAAATAGTCGTGTCATAAGATAAACACAAAATATAAATATTGATACCGGAGAAACTGACGGAAGCAAAGCACAGAGGGATGGACACAGGTTTCTTCAGGAAGGAAGAGATTCTTTATTGGATCACCGATCGGGACTCAGAGGGACTAATGTCACCAAAAATACAGCAAGTTCTGAGCCCTGAACAATAGTGCAGGCTTCCTATATAGGCACATAACTCCTCCCATATTAAGCTCCACCCGCACATTCTCTTGACCAATCATTACAAATAAGAATTAACTTCCTGCTTGACCACATGGCTTGTCCAGCACAATGGAGGAGGGGAATACTACATCCTGTATTCTTGCACATGCTCCGTACACTACTGATCGTATCTTGCCTCGTGCAACCAACTGATCGATACGTCAGCATATGCACGTACACATGCCACGTGGTAATCTCGGCCTACTAAATTTATTTTTACCGAGATTCCACCACATTCCCCCCTTTGATGCCTCTTGATATTTTACAATTACTTGAGGCATCACTTAACCTTGGTTTACATACACCACAAGTTACCTTTGAACCAGACCAGACTTATCCTATGATGTGAATCTTCAACACTCATCTTCCTGCATTAGTTCTCCCTGATCTAGAGCCTTATATTTATAAATTGCCATTATCTGTGCAGCAGCCTTCCTCTCTGCTATATTTTCTATCAGGCTTTGCACAGACCTAACTACTAAGGGTATAAGACACGGCAGGAGTAGACACAACATTAAAATCAGTAGGACTCCACCTACCACTGCCTTAAGCCCTCCAAACCACTCATACCAGCTACCAAACCAACTACTTGGATTGTACCCTTTCCATACCTGAGTAGGCACATGCGCTAGTTTAACCATATGGCTAGTAAGCTCAGCTATTGCTTGCCCTTCGTCATCTATTTGAAGACAGCAATTGCTCAGGTTAAACTTCCCACATACACCTCCCTCTACTGCCAAAAGATAATCCAAGGCTAATCTATTTTGGTAAACTGCTGTCCTCATCCTGGTATTATGCTTCGCTAGAAGATTGAGCGCTTGTGATGTCTCGTTAGTAATGATCTCAACCACCGCCTGTAACCTTATAATGCGGTTGAGCATATAAATAGGGGTTCTATAACCAAAGGTACCATCCTCTGCCCACGTGGCTGGCCCATAATAATCTATAATACGCTGGGGAGGCCATTCATTATCTTCCCAGGCACCTATCTCTATGGGTCCCCTTTTCTTCCTATGATTCACATCATACACTTTAACACCTAAAGTCTCACCTGTTTCAATAGGCAACAAGAAGAAGGATGGTTTTAACATACCCAACACACATGCCCCTTCCCAGTCCTGTGGTAACTCCGAATAGGCCTTCTTACCACAGATCCAGTACAAATTCGCTGGGGCTCTCCAGTTAGATGTGATGGATAGATCAAACCATACGTCCTTTAAATTGGCATATCTTGCAAACGGGTTAGATGGTTCTGAGACATTTGAAGCCGACCACCAAGTTGTATTCTTTGTATCATCATCATAAGCTTTTTGCCCTAGACAAGTTAATTCTCCTACAGAAGTATTATACATCATTCCTTTCCTCGCTATGCAAACATAACCTATGATGGAGGTCTTCAATCTCCACTCAGATTTACCTCTAACACTCATATGATAGTCGGCTTGTGTAGATATTAATTGGTCAACTGCCTCAGAACCGGACATTACCTCCTTTGCTTCCCAAGGCCATTGGTCTCCCATGTTAGTACCTCCACACACATAGCAGTTGGTAACATTAAGACTACCGGCAATACTCTCGGCTAAATCAATGAACAAGTTTTTAGCATTATGGGGGATCTTATTATCTATGCTCATCTCTTCATAAAAGGAATGGTATACTTGATGAGTTTGGGAGGTTACCGTATCAGTCTCTATCCCTATAAACAATATTGTCCCAGGGTCTAAACCCGTCCCATATATTTGAAACCCAAATAAATTACCATATTTATCTAAGAACTTGTCAGGGTTATTTATAAGTATATGGATTGGATTGCATTCCATAGACTTACAATATGGATTAGTAGGCAACTTAGTCACAATCATGTCCTTGTCTACTGTCTGTCCCCAAGTCGCCCACCCCACACAAGACCAATATGGGCAGAAGTTATAATCTCTATTTGGACATCTTGGACTTACATATCTATTTTTACTACTGGGACAAATATATTTATCGTTAGACCCATACGTCCTCTCCCATCTAAGATCCCCACATACATTCCACGGCTTTCTACCACTTGATATTGCTTTACACGCATCAAATAGCAGAGCACCTGAAGAATATACGGATTCTAATACCGTCTTATTAATTAGGGTCCCCTGAGGATCTCCATTTCTGAGAGTCAACCAAATTGTACGGGGTTGATACTCAGGACTGAAGCACTTAGGTTCTCCTACTCCTAAATGACACACACTATATTCTATATTTAAGTATCTACATCTTGATACATCTCCTTTACACTCATATTGCGAATGCCAAATTAGGGTCTGGGATATATGGTTACCTGTTCTTGTAGTCTTAATGCATACCTCACAGCTAGGAGTGTTGGTACCTCTACCTTCCTGAATATAAAAATACACATAAATAAACATTATTAAAAATACATCTTTCGTCGTCATCCTCAGTCTTCGTCCGTGTGAAGGCACCTCAGCTTCCAGGATGTAAGGACTGCAGGGAATGGAGTTCTGCTCGTCTTCACAGGGGTCCCCTCAAGACTTTCCCTGACTTATACACTCGTTGGTGAGTGGACAGGCTTTATTATGGCCTTCTCACTCACTTACCAAGTCTCTGAAACAATAAAATTTGTAATCTACAAGGTTCCTCGTCACTCCGACTGAGTCGTGCGTTTTAACCGGATCTTGCAGGGATTCTCTGGATTTGCTGTAACTTGCCAGGAATCGGCTGCTGCTGGTTTAACCCTGGAGTGATGTATCCACGGAGCCACTTCGGCTACTTTTATCGCTGTAGGGGTAGACAGAAGAACAACATAAGGACCTCTCCACTTGGGCCCTAACGGCACATTATTCCACTCTTTAATCCACACTTGGTCGCCTGGGTGGTAACTATGAATTGGGGGATAAATATTCACAGGTAATCTATCTTGTACCCATTTCTGTACCTCCTCCATAGTCTTACCCAACTCCACAACCTGCTGCCGGGTAATTCCTTCTCCCAACTGACTCAAATCCCCCCTTAAGTTACCAAGCACGGGAGGTGGTCGCCCGTACATGATTTCAAAGGAGAGAGGCCCATCCTTCTGGTAGGTGTACTACGGATTCGCAATAGAGCTATGGGCAAGAGAACGTTCCACTTAAGTTGGGTTTCCTGACACATTTTAGCCAACTGATTCTTAATAGTTCTATTCATTCTCTCTACCTTACCAGAACTCTGGGGTCTATATGCCGTATGAAGCCTCCACTTTATACCAAGCATATGAGTCAATTGTTGTAAGCACTGATGAACAAAAGCTGGACCATTGTCCGATCCTATAGAGCAGGGTAGTCCATATCGGGGTATTATTTCTCGTAGCAGGAATCTCACGACTTCTCCTGCTTTCTCTGTACGAGTAGGACATGCTTCTACCCAGCCTGAATAGGTGCACACCACTACCAGCAGGTAGCGATGTCCACCCGATTTAGGCATCACTGTATAGTCAATTTGTAAATCGGACATGGGAAGTCCCCCCATAAACTGGACTCCTGGTGGCTTTACTGGTCCTTGTCTTGCATTATTTTTAGCACACGTTACACATCTACGTACAATGGCCTGAGTCAAGTTGGACAATCTTGGTATGTAGAAATGTTTTCTGAGAGATTCTTCTGTACTGTCTCTCCCAGAATGTGTCCCGTTATGATAGTTTTGGACAATTTCTACCGCTAGTGATGCTGGAATAACTATTCTTCCATCTTCTAACTGATACCATTTGTTCTCCAAATACTTTCCAGGTTCAGTCCTTAACCACACCTCTTCCTGAGCTGTATAAATTGGAGTCCATTGAGACAGTGGAGCTGGTATAAGAGCAGCTATATGCCCCACATATTCCTGTCTTCCTGATTCAGCAGCACGCTTAGCTGCACTATCTGCCATCCGATTCCCTTTGGTTACATCACCATCTCCTCTCAGATGCGCCCGACAATGTATAATACCGACTTCTTTCGGCTCCCACACTGCTTCCAATAGTTGTAGGATCTCAGCTGCGTATTTGATTTCTT